GCCCCCTGCCAGCAGATCCTTCCCGAAGGACGCGGCGTCAAAGAGCCGCTTCTCCGGCTTCTTCTCCGGCTTCTTCTTCGGAGGGTCACGCTGCATGGCGGGGCGATGGGCGTAAAAAACCCACAGCAGCAAGTTAAACCGAGCCCAGGAGAGACGACGAAGGGGAGCAGAAAACCGCTTCGGCGTCGTCCTGGCGGGAAAGCGGCGCTGGGGACGCCGGGAGATCAGCGCACCATGTGGGCGAGGCGGGCCGCTGCGCATGCGCTGCCAACCGCCTCCCGCCCCCGGGTGCCAGCCACGTGACTCCCGACGCGCAGCCGCCTGCGGGCGGCGTTGTCTGGAGCAGTGTCCGTGCGCAGGTTTTTCCTTGCAGGGAAGGTGCAGGGAGGGGCCGGGAGGGGCTCGCTCTGTGTAAGGACCGCGTACAAGCTGGAGCAGGGCAGTCAGCTGCCGGGTGGGATTAGCCGGGTTTGGTTTTAGTTTACAGGATTACTCTTAGTTTTCTCTTAGAAATCAATGACATTTTGCTCCTTATTTGTGCAGGGGTTTAGTTACGTTGTCACTGCTTCATGTTCCGCGTTCTCCTTTGTTGCATTGAAATTGGTAATTCCCTCCAGAGCCGTGCCTCCCCCAGCCCCACCTGCACCCAGGGCGCCGGGAGTGGCATTTAACTGTGTGGAGTGCGTGGGCCTAGGGAGTTCTGATACGCAGAGCACCAGGGCCCGGCTCTGGAACCGCGGCCCACAAACTCTGATTTCAGGACCCCCTTTTCACTGCTCAAAATGAGGAGCACAAAGAAGCTTCCGTTTGTGCGTGACATAAATGGGCATGTACCATTTCAGAAATTGAAACAAAATTTCAAACTATTAATCCATTTAAAATAATATGCACAACACAAATACCATTTAAAGTAATTTTTCAAAACAAACCAAAAAAATGTAGTGAGAAGAGCCTTGTTTTGTATTTTCAGAAATCTTTCATGTCTCAAGGAAACGGCTAGATTTCCGTAACTGCCCTTCGGCCCGTCGCAGTGCCACCCCCACGTGGCTGCTGGCACACCCCACTTACACAGCCGAGAGAATGAGTGGCTGGCCGGTGTTGTCCTAGTATCATTAGGGAAACTCTGGGCCTCACGGAGGCAGGTGTCTTCGTGACACCTGCACCTGTTGCCTGCCACACTGAGGACTCCTCTGAGATTGATCAGACTCAGGTTTGACTTCTCTGGGCAAGAATACTCAGCACGTCATGTCTGTCTCTATTTCCTTCCCCCTCCCTTTTTTAAAAAAATTTGTGTATCCTAGAGATCCCTCCATAATATATTCCTTGTTCCTTTTGATAGCCGGTTTGGTGGTTTCTCATAAATGGAGGCACTGCTATTATTTCTTACTCTGTAGAACCTGCAGTCTTGAAACATATCCAGAAAACCTGAGATGAGTTATTGACATTTTTGAACTTAGGTTCTGATTTTTTCTTCGTTATCTTGTGTGTTGTAACACTTTTTGTACTACTTGTCGCTAGTCAAAAACCAAATATGTAGGCCAAACGTGTTCCGGAGTAGGACTTGTGTTAATATTTTGATTACCTCACATAAATCAAGTCGGCAAGTCCTACTGGTCTGGTGTCTCATGCTACTTCCCTTTCCATAGCTGCTTATCAGGCTCTTAAGTGGTTTTTTAGCCCGAGTCTCTCTCTGTTTTACATGTTGTCATCAGATTAATCTTTCTGAAGAAACTGCATTAGTCATCATTCCTAGGTTTAAAAACTTTCAAATCTTCTCATTGCATGGACTTCAGAATCCTTTGTGAAATCCATTGCAAATTCAAGAAATAAATGATTGGGGGTGGGGGAGGACAGGGAGGAGGGTGTTAAGGGGGAAAACATCTGTAACAAAAATCAATTAATAATAAAAATAAAAGGATTCATGTTTTATTTGCAAAAATCTGAAAACTGAAAGGTTTCAATCACCTTAAAGGGAATTTGAAGCCTTAACAAGCAGACAAGGAGAAATATAAGTGTAATTACTTGAATCACCCTGCAAGGTGCCGAGAGAGGTCGGTCAAAGGAAACATCTCTGGTCACAGGGAACTTCGATGTACGGAGGATGGAAAAGCAAATGTTTGGCTGCTCCCTAGGGCAGTTCCTGCTTCTTACCTTCCTTGCATCCCTTTCCCCTCGCTCCTGCATTTGACTCTACAGTCGACAATGTTTATAACATATTCTTTTTTGATATCTTCAAGCTTATTTATGATATATATATTCACTGATATAAGACAGCAAAACTGAAAGCACTTAGAAATGTAGCTTTTTTCCCTTATTAAGAGCTTTAGATCAGCTCTTTTCAACAGAGTGAGCTGAAAATGTTTATTTTAATGTGCTGCATTGCATTTTATTTACTGATTTAAGGAACAGAAACAGTTCTGGTGATTCATATGTTAATAAAAAAGTATAGAGTCTCGGGTCTTTGTGCTCCTCTCTTCCATGAAGGTGGGAATCCACCCCCAACCCAACCATTCCTGTATCCCCAGCATCCAGAACAGTGCTTGACACAGAACAGAAACTCAATACACATTTTTTAGACCAATGCATGAAAAGGCAACACAACCACAAACTCCAAACCATCTTTATTAAAATCAATATTGTATAAAAATAGCTTTAAATATATAATATAGAAATACAGTTCTACAAAAGTAAATTATTTTCACACAGTTTAGTATGTAGACTGAAGTTTTAGCAACTTTAATATTTAAAAAAATATCCAAAGTATAAATCCTTGTTCTAAAAATATGTTTAGTGCTGAATACTTTTCATCTGCTTCTTTCCAACATTTTGTATGGTAGCGGGTATGATTTAGTTTTCAACCAATGGATATTTGATCATAATAGTAGCAGCAGCTAACACTTTTATAGCACATAACATGTGCCAGGCACTATTTAGAGGTAACTCACGCACACACTACTTACAATAGTCTCAAGAATATTCAAAGCAGACAAACCTACTAAGCTGGTTTCATAGGTTTTCCCATTTGTATTAGAAATATAAAAAAAGGAAGCACTGCAAATTTATTATCTTGCCTATGTGCTTCATCATTAATAGTCCCTTGGCACAAATCAGAAACTCTCCCTTACTAAGTACAGTTCTCCAACCCCACAAAAATAAACCAATGAGAGCTAGAGAAAGGAGAGGAAGGAGAGGGAGTAGACTCTAAAATGGAATTTAGTGGGGCTAAAAATACAAGTTGGGACAAAAGTAGGTTTATAGTTGTGAGTACGCAGACTGCAGAGTTTATTCTTGTATTATTATTATTATTAATTTTTTTTATCCTCACCCGAGAACACTTTGCACTTATCTTAAGATAGAGCGGGAGGGAGAAAGGAAGGGAGAGAGAGAGAAACATCGATGTGAGAGAGACACATCCACTGGCTGCCACCCACACGACCCCAACCAGGGCCAGAGACAAACTGCAACCGAGGTAGGTGCCCTTAGCGGGAACTGAACCCGGGACTCTCCGGTCTGCGGGCCAAAGTTCTAACCATTGAACAAACCGGCCAGGGGTGTATTATTATTTTTGTTGTTGTTAATCTTCACCTGAGGATATTCCTTCCACTGAATTCCAGAGAAAGTGGAAATGAGGGAAGAGGAGAGAGAGAGAGAGACATCAATGTGCGAGAGACACCTTGATGGGTCAGCTCCCCCATGTTCCCGGACCAGGGCCCGGGATCCAACCTGCAATCCAGGTACTTTCTCTTGACCCGGAATCAAATCCGAGACCCCTCAGTGCTAGTGACTCTCCATTGACTGAGCCACAACAGCCAGGGCTTGTATTATTATTTATTAATTATTGTATTATTTGCCAAATAAACTGTAAACCTACTTTTGTATATGATGGTGATGAGATTTTTTTAAAAATGATAATTATATAACCTTTTGCATTAATAGTCTTTCGTGAAAGGGACCATTTGCAGGATGCTAACAAAATCCAACTTAAGAATGTTTCTATCCTTGCCAAAGAGTATAAATACCTCTGTGGTATCTGCACTGTTGTTGTTTTATCCCCTTTATTTAATAAAGTGGCAGATAGGTATTTATTAACCAGTAATCAAACTAATGTACTTTCAGATGTGACTACGAACATATTTGGAATAATGGGCAACTAAGTTTGTCTGCAATGTTTACTTCAATATCCATTTAGATGACGTTTGGTTTCATTTTTTTTTTTAAATGCAATGTCTCTACAACATGGACATTATGGTGTACATCTATAATATAGCAAATAATTTCCCCTTATTAAGATCAGTAGTTTGCTTTATCTCCTTATTTCAGTTATTGAGCAGTGGTCAATATGATTCTTTGATACCAGGAAAGCAGTTTAATAAATTAAACTTTCATTAAATGAAGCAAAAAAAAAAAAAATCCACTATAATAAACCCCCAAGTTTTCAGTCTGTTGGAAAATGTGAGGTGATCAGTAGCTGAATGTGTTAATAATTCTCAGTATTAAAATTAGGGTATGGCATTTTGGGGGGAAATATCAAGAAATTTAAGAGATTTAATATATACTTTTTTTTTTTTTTATCCTCACCCGAGGACATTTTTCCATTTTTTGTACAGATAGAGTGGGAGGGAGGGAGAGGAAGAGACAGAGAGAGAGAAACATCAATGTGAAAGGGACACATCGAGTGGCTGCCACCGCACGACCAACCAGGGCCGGGGACAAACTGCAACCGAAGTACGTGTCCTTAGCGGAAACCGAACCCGGGTCTCTCCGGACCGCAGGCCGATGCTCTAACCGCTGAGCCAAACCGGCCAGGGCTTAATATATACTTTAAAAAAAAGTGCCTTAATACCCATGATACCTTAATGCCCTGAGCTCAGAGAGGTACAAAGACTTGCTCATGGTCACAGCACTAATTAGTTATAGGTCACGTTCCCCCAATTTCACGATTCTTTCACTAGATTCAATATTAGTTTTGAGACAGATACACAACCAATTGAATATTTTTCCAAGATAAATATTTCCTATATTAATTTTATATAAAACACTTCACATTACTTCAAACTAGTCAATAAATTAATGTTATATTATCAAAATGCAAATAAGTTAACAATTCCTTCTTCATATTTTGATAAAGTATTTTTTAAAAAGTCTCACAATACTAATTAAGATCTAGTGTATCAAATCTAATAGCATATGATCTCAATATTTAGCAATACTATGTTCAATACTAAACAGTGAAAAAGAAGCTAAATCTTATCTTCTGTGTATGGATTTCAGCAATCCTAACACTGCTCAGTGCTCCATGTACAGTGTTACAAAGTCAACCCAAAGAACAACTTAAAAGCCATTTCAACGGCAATTTCTGTGACTGAGTCATGGAAACAGACGTAAAGTTCTTGAACTTTGGGATGAAGAAAGAGTCTCCTGTAGAGGAAAAGGAAACACTTATTTTAGAAATTCAAAAACAAAGAAAAGTTAAAACTTCCAATTCATTTCATTTTATTTTGTTTTGTTTCTGATAGTATCAGTAGTAAATTAAAACAATAATCTAAATCTATAGTAGGGTGAAATGCAGCTAGGTTTTCTTTTAAATAAATAATATAACCTTAGGTCAATTATTTTTTATTTTTCCAAAGTGTAAAGCCTATTTTTACCAATATGTTTTACCATATTCCTCAGTTTTTAAATATTAAATTTAGTCATTATTACAATAAAGTCAATGGTGATACCATCATTTTAGGTATAACAGTTATTAAACACGGCCATTTACTTTCTAAAGGGTAATTATTATTAAAATATTAAACATATGATACCTCTTTTTGCAGATAGTATTGGATTGGGATTAACAATGAAACTTTACTTGGTTTTCTTAAAGAGTTAAAATCTATTTAATCAATACTACTGTCAATAAATCAAACTATTTAAATTAGGGGTAGTCTACCTGACTTCCTTAAATATCTCTATTCTACACAGATCTGCATCAACAGATTCAACACCTCTTGATTCTTTCTTTCTTTTTTTTTTTAATCTTTATTGTTGGATGTAAAATGTACTACAGATGTTCCACATTTCCCCCCCATTGACCCCCTCCTCCCCACTCCCGCCCCCCTCTCACCTTTTCCCACACTATTGTCTGTGTCCATTGGTTATGCATATAAGTTCTTTGGTTTATTTCTTCCCACCCCCCCAACTCCTTTCCCTTTGAGGTTTGTCAGTCTAGCAATGAATTTGTGCTTCTTAATCCCTTCACCTTTTTCACCCATTCCCCCAACCCCGCTCCCAACTGGCAACCAACAAAATGTTCTCTGTATCTATGAGAATGTTTCTGTTCTACCTGTTCATTTTGTTTGTAGATTCCATTGTTGATAGATATGTATTCATTGCCATTTTGTTTGTTCATACATTTTATCTTTTTCTTCAAAAAGACCCTTCATCATTTCATATAATAACGGTTTGGTAGTGATGAACTCCTTTAACTTTTTCTTGTCTGGGAAACTCTTTATATGTCCATCGATTCTAAATGACAGCTTTGCAGGATAGAGTAATTTTGGTTGTAGGTTCTTACTTTTCCTCACTCTGAATATTTCTTGCTACTCCCTTCTGGCCTGCAAAGTTTCTTTTGAGAAATCAGCTGACAGTCTAATGGGAACTCCCTTGTAGGTAACTAGCTGCCTTTCTCTTGCTGCTTTTAAGATTCTCTCTTTGTCTTGAACCTTTTGCATTTTGATGATGATGTGTCTTGGTGTGGGCCTCTTGGGGTTCATCTTGTTTGGGATTCTCTGTGCTTCCTGGACTTATATGTCTGTGTCCTTCACCAAGTTAGGAAAGTTTTCTGCCATTATTGTTTCAAACAGGTTTTCGATTTCTTGTTCTCGCTCTTCTCCTTCTGGCACCCCCAAGATGCGAATGTTGGCACGCTTAAAGTTGTCCCAGAGGCTCCTTACACTATCCTCATTTTTTGGGGTTCTTTTTTCTTTTTGCTGTTCTGATTGGGCATTTTTTGCTTCCTTATATTTCAAATCGATGCTTTGCTCCTTGGATTTACGTACTCTATTATTGAAGCTGTGTAAATTATTCTTTATTTCAGTTAATGCCTCCTTCAATTCTAACTGTGTATCCATGATTTCTAACTGGTCATTTTTTTATGCTCTTGAGGCCCTCCCTAAGTTCACTGAGGTTCTCACTAAGTTCATTGAGCATCCTTATAAGCAGTATTTTGGACTCAGTATCTGTTAGGTTGCTTATCTCCATTTCGCTTAGTTCTTTTCTTGGGGTTTTGTTCTGTTCCTTCCTTTGGGACCTGTTTCTTGGTCTCCTCATTTTGGCTGCCTCCCTGTGTTTGTTTCTGTGTATTACTTAACGAGAGGTATGGGGCTCGCTGAGACCAGATGCTTCTCGTTTGAAAGAATTTAGGAAAAACCTGAAGCAGGATCCAAGACAGGCTAATCCTATGGTTAAGCAAGTGGCAACAGCTTGGGTGGGCTTGAAAGTTGGGTGGGGTGGGGCCTCAGGGAGTCAGCAGGGCGGGGCTACCAGTATGAGCCAGGTTGCTGGGGTCCCAGTTATGGCTTCTGTCTTGCCGCCCCAGGGAAGGGCTCACCAAAGGAACAAAGGCCTCTGACAGCACGTCTGTCCTGGAGGAAGCCCCCTCTCCAGCCTTCGCTCCAGTGCCAAACAGCTCAGTTCTTCCCTGTGTGTCTCTGGCTCCCCTCGAGCTGCCTCCCCTCCGAGCTCAGAGGGAGCGAGTCCGATAAGTCCGTGCGCGGGCCCTTTAAGGAGCTGCCTGGGGCTCCAGCCGCTTCAGCCTCCCTGAGCCTCAGTTCCCGCTGGTTTTCCAGCCAGAAGTGATGGGGATTCTCTTCCTGGCACTGGAACCCTGAGTGGGGCACCTGGTGTGGGACAGGGACCCCTCAGTCCTCAGGAAGGGCCTTCCCAGCCAAGGTGTCCCCTGATTTTTATCCCCACACGTGGGTGTGGGCCCAGCCTGTTGCGCCGCCGCCCCTCCTACCAGTCTGGATGTGGCTGCTGCTTTAATTTCGTAGTTGTAGGACTTCCATTCAGCTTGATTTCAGGCGGTTTTGAATGATGGTTGTTCTGTAGTTTAGTTGTAACTTTGATGTGGTTGTGGGAGGACGCGATACCGCGTTTACCTACCCGCCATCTTGACCGGACTTCTGATTCTTTCTATTCTAATTGTTGTGAATGCAGTTAAGGTTCCACTATGCACCTGTATGTGTGCCTAACTGTTCCTCTCTGTAGCCTCTCATGTATCCATACCATTCCACTTGCTGCTCCCAACTTAACCATCCAATAGCATGGCTCTGATCACACTACACAGAACTGAACTTATGCTGATGCTCCCAAACTTGGCTGGTTATACATCAGAATCACAAGGAAGCTTACTGGGGTGGGGCGCAGGCATCTCTGATTTAACAAGTGACTTGAGTGATTCTAAATCCCATGGACCAGCACACTGGAATCACTGCTTTGGATACATTTGTAAAGCGTTTGTCATATAATATATTACTACATGGTAGGTGTCCAGTTAGTGTCACCTAACTTCCTGCCCCTTCCTCCACCAAGTCTTTAACCCAAATCAGAGACTCTTCAGTGGCTCAGTATTTCCCTCAAAATGCAATTCCTTAGTCAGAATTGAAGGCTCTCTGCTTCCCAGCCTGACCTTTTTAACTTTCTCTTTGGGTATATCACTCCTTTACCATCCTGGCAAGCCATACTCATTGCTGTGCCTTATGATTTCCCTTGTTTGGGTCTTTGTTCATCCTTTCTTTTTCTGAAATGTTCTATCCAAATCCAATTCATTTCCTAAACCAGATCAAATGGGTTTTCCCTTCCTCTGAATTCCCATAACATTTGGTTGTATCGACTAATTAGCCCCCCCATCTGACTATATATATCTGTATATTCTAATAAGTCTATATCCATATAATATCTATCCATAAACATATAGATATCTGAGCATAGTTCATATTTCTTCTGCTAGATGTAAGACCATTAGGTGCAATGCGTGTGACTTTATCTTTCTATTTGGCATACCACCTCCCACCACAGTTTGCCAAGCACAACTCTATTTACTAAATTGTTTATTTTTTTTTTATTTTTTTTAAATTTTTTTTATTCTCCAGAGGACATTTTTCTATTTTTTGTTCAGATAGAGTGGGAGAGAGAGACAGAGAGAGAGAAACATCGATGTGAAAGGGACACATCGAGTGGTTGCCACCCGCACGACCCAACCAAGGCTGGGGACAAACTGCAACCGAGGTACGTGCCCTTAGCGGGAACCGAACCCGGGTCTCTCCGGACCGCAGGCCGACTCTCTAACTGCTGGGCCAAACCAGCCAGGGCCTAAATTGTTTATAATATATTTATCAATATATGTGTTAGGTACCAAGGGTGCTCGAGACAGATATGATTCATAGAGCTGACACTGTAGTAAGAAAGACCATAAACAAACAAGAAAATAAATAATAAAGAGGTTATATAATACAGCATAACTGAGTAGCCCTTTTAATGCCGTAAAGAGATCATGGATCCTCTCTTTGAGGAGATGACATGTTAGCACTGGTCTGAAAATCGAGGAGCCAGAAATGCAAAGGTTAAGAGGCAGAACATCCCACACACAAGGAACAGCAGGAACAAGATTCGATTGGCGCCAGTGTGGTTGTGCATATGGGAGGAGGAGGAGGAGAGTGACAGGAGAGAGATGGAGAGGTGGGCAGGGACCAGGGCAGGCAGGGCTTGTAGTTGGTGTGGGGTGAGGGGAAGGAGAGCGAAGGGAAGAGGGAAAGCAAGGAGGACAGAAGGAAAGAAGGAAGTAGGGATGGAAGGAAGGAAATAGCAGTAAAATTGTGAAATCATTGTTTTTTTAGCTTGTTACTAATATAATTTTGTAAGATCACTGACTAAGCTATTTGTTTTTAATAGAAAAGGACTTGGGAGGAATTTAAAGGAGATAGCAAATAAAATTCTAAAATATATTAAAATATTATAGTTAGATCAATAATTGTATGCCTACATCTTAAAACTTTGTCTCCTTTACCACTTTTCTAACATTTTACTTAACTTTCAAATACTCTTTTTCGACTTACCCTACTACCCAGTAAGCCATTACTGGGGGTGCTTTTCTCTGATCAGTCCAGTTTTCAGGTGAACATTCAAACAACACCCCATGTTCTTTCACAGGGTTTAGAGAAGACCCTGAATTCGTAGATTCTGAATGATCTGCAACATTCAGTGCTTTCTTTTTCTGTAAATTAACAGGTATTATTAGTATTGACAGGTGCTAATAGTGTTACTTTAAAATGTTTTCACAGATAGACCTGAATTGGCTGATTCTAATACTTAAGAGCCTGCAATGACATTCTTCTTACCTGTAGGAAAATTTCTACTCTTCCTCATACTTTAAATACCATCTCCTAAAAAAGACTTCGTGGATAAAGCATCCCTTGACTCTTGCAGGGAACATTTTGTTCATAACCGTGTATTAGTAGTTACCTTATATTATATCAATTATATTTGCAGTTTATAGGTCTTTCTTCCCCAGTGGATAAGCTTCTTTTCCAGGGCAGAGACAGTACACTATTCATCTCTGTGTTTTTTAAAGTGCCTGGTACATAGTAGGTACTTAATGAATAGATTGCTAATGAGTAATTACTAAGTGAACAGATAAAATTTTATAATATACTTAAAACACATTAAACTTAAAGCAGTATTGTCTCTTACTCTGATTTAAAACTCTCTAAATTTCCCATTGATAAAAAAATCATTAGAAAACAGTGACTTATGTGGAATATAAATACTTTTTGTAAGGTTCAGGCCAAAACAGTAGTGATCCTTGGTTCTTCTTTCTCTAATAATTCTTATCTAATTCCCCACCAAATCATTTTGGCTCGCCCTCTAGAACACATCCCGAATCTATAAACCATTGTGCTTCTTGTTTTGAGAGATTCCAAAGCTGGACATACTGATTAAAGAGCGTTTAGAGATCTGGAAATGAAACTGGCAGAAAACTATATTTGCAGCATTGCCCTACCTCTTCAATCAAGGTCTGTTGGAAAACTGCACGGATGGAGAGACAACACTGATGGAAATTCTTTATTAGCTGAGGGTGAATAGAGCCACCTAGCTGGGCCACTTCTTCGTGGGTAGGAGTAATAAAGATCCCTTGCACTGTTTCTAAGGCAACATAGTGGAAAAGTGTGTTCTCTGGACCGGATGTCAATCTTGAAAACAAGAAAAGAAAAAATATATTTAAGTAAACTTAAAAAATATTGCTTCATTTTAAATTGTGTAGACTCCTAACAAGTTTTTTTTATCTACAATATAATATTAGGAGTCTAATTAGGGAAAGGAAATTAGGCCAAACATTTAATTCCCTCTTCCTCTTTAACTGACGTACAGGCAAGGGTTATTACCAATTCCCTAATGGAGGTAAGTATTACATGTTATGCAAGGATAAACAAATACCAATTCATTTGCAAGTAACTTAATTCGCCCCCCTGCTAAACAACCCAAACTGGCCAACACCCTCTTTTTCCACAGTTGGTAATGAATAACTCAGCCCATGTCTGGCCCAGATCTCTGCAAGCCACAAACATGCTGTCAGTTGAAGTGGATCACATATAAAAACATCTTCCAACAAACCAAACACATTTAAGTTAGCAGCATTAAAGCCTTTTCCCATGATAGTTAAATTGATGATCCTGAATAAAAATGAAATTGTTACCAACTGCGGAGCTGGGTTAATATTCTGTAATACCACGACAAGACTAGTTGTATTCTCTTTTTCATTATTACAGTCTTACTTCTCTTCTGGCTCCTCTTATTATTTTCATTTCTCCATTCTTCTTCTTCTCCATCTTTTCTTCCCCTAGTTAGGTCTCAGACTGGCAGGGAGAACCTATACATACTGCTTATTTCTACCATTAGTAAACAGAGCTGAAGAACAACAATATAATAATAATAATGACAATAATAATAATGATGATGATGATAAACTGAATGCCCTCGATGTGCCAGGGTAGGCGCTTTAAAATATCTTAGTCTTAATTCTCATAATGACTCTTCAGGGTATTAAATATTACCATCCTCGTTTTAATCACGAGGAAATCAATGTTCAGAGGACTTAGATTAACTTGAGGTCACACAGCTAAGTGGCAGAGCTCAGCTGACTCTGTAACTTGATCCGTGGTACCTTGCTTTTTTCTCTCTACTGCAGACTCTGACTGGCAGTCTTTAGATACATGGACAGCAGTTCCCCATCTGGATCTCAAATACTCAGGCTGCCCCATTCTAATTCTAATGTCTAATGTCATTTGACTTACACCCCCCCCACCCCCCCGCCGCCCCATGAGCACAGAGGCAAGGAACAAACTTATTCCAGCTCTTAGCCTATGTGCTGCCTTGGTCGTCCCTGGTCAGCACTGGGAATGAGCACTCCGGGACAAGGGGTATCTGGGCAGCACACCACAGCCTCTGTCAGAGTCTAAAAATAGTAAACTCTAATTTAGAAATTAGACACACAAAAGGGAGGGTACCTGTGGAAGAGAGATAAAGGGGCTTTCACATTTTGAACTGTTACTTTGTATGTTTTTTATCTCTTATGAGTATGTTTCCTACATGTGTAATGACGAACATTAGAGAAATAGCATAGATATTACCTATGACATGTAAGATACATCATAATTACAATTGTTGAATAAAATCTCTACATGTTTTAGACTTGTACAGGGTTTAAGTGAAAAAAAGAATATTATAAGAAAGTTTCTTACTTCATTGTGTTATACATTTCCAATTCTTTTTCTGAAAGGTCCCTTTTCAAGTTACCCAAATGAAACGGATTTGGAAGAGTAGACTTCTTTTTAGTGACCTGAAAAATCCAGTTTAGTAGATCAGTTTATATCTAAGAATGGAATCAAATAGCAGAAATAATGTAAAAACTAAATATCATTCTAAGAGAACTATTTACTATTTTGCAATGTTACCTTTAAATATTTTCAGTGCTGCCATGGCCAGTTTGCTCAGTGGTTAGAGCGTCAGCCTGCAGACCAGAGTCGCAGGTTCGATTCCAGTGAAGGGCACGTACCTTGGGTGCGGTTTGGCTCCCAGCCCTGGTTGGGTTGTGCGGGAGGCAGCCAATCGATGTGTCCCTCTCACATCGATGTCTCTGTTTCTGTCTCTCTCACTTTCCCCCTCCCTCTCTCCTTCGCACTCTATCTGAAGATAAATGGAAAAAAAGTATCCTCAGGTGAGGATTAAAAAATAATAAGTAAATATTTTTAATGCTCACCTGTCTCTAGGCTTGTCCTTTGCTATCAGAGACCGCAGGGCCATGTCATAGGAGGACATGAAAGTTCTCCCCCCAAAACCTTCTACCACAGCCATTATGGAGCCTTTACCAAGTTTTGTTATAATTTATATGTATGTGTACTTGTCTCCCTCTCCAGACTGCACTCCCCAAAGGGCAGGGGCTGTATCTTTTCTTTACGTAATTTTAAAATTTTTTTATTGATATTTTAGAGAGAGAGAGAGAGAAACATTGATGTTAGAGAGATACATTGATTGGCTGCCTCCTGCACTCACCCAACTGGGGATGGAGCCCGCAACCCGGACATGTGCCCTGGCTGGGAATTAAACCAGGACCTCTCAGTTCATGGGATGATGCTCAATCCACTAAGCCACACAGGCCAGGCTGGGGGCAACAGTAGGTGTTCAATCAATATTTGTTGAATAGCTAAATCTTAGACATTAATTCACTTTTTCTTAGGTATTGCTCATGGCTTCTTAATTCTTTCCAAATAGTCTTAAACTGTATTTCTGACCAATTTCACTGACTGGGATGATGAGTACAGTACCAATGTGAGCACTTCCTAAATACATCCACTTAGGGCTGAAGAGCACTCTACTGTTTAGAATTAGGAGATCACATCTATAGTTATAGTTATAGTTATAGTTATAGTTATAGTTATAGTTATAGTTATAGTTATAGTTAAAGTTATAGTTATAGTTATAGTTATATAGTTATGCCATGACACTCAGAAACTCATATTTTATCCCTGCCCCTTCTCAGACACCTCCTTCTTCACCACATCCACCCAAATGACAACTTTCAAAAATGTTTTAAAAAGCCACATTACTAGAATAGGTAGAGAGCCTCCAGGAGCAATGACTTTGATAATAACAGATGGAAAAAACACACATAAAAAATGATAAATAAGAGGTCTGAAAAATGAACATTCTCTTTGCTTAATAGTCACATTTTCAATTCTTGAGTATGGAGACCAGGACTTCACAAGTGCACATTAAAAAAAAAATCTATAAAATAAATAGAACAAGGCACACATATATTTTAAGTTATTGATTCTCTCTTTGTTTCCGCTGAACATTTTATTGGCTAGTCAGATCAGCCCCCTAAATGCCCCACAACTAGGCTGTTCCCTGTTAACATCGTAAACAGAGAAGATCAAGATGAACAGGGAAAGCAGGATTAAAGAGTTTCCCTGCTTGTAAGTAGTGTCAAAGCAGAAGTCCTGGATATAACTGTTATTTCTTCCTCTTTTGGGTTCTAAATCATTGGCTTCCCAAGAGTGACTAAAACAACCACCAGTTCAAATGAAGGATGACCTGCCTTTAAAAACTCTATTGCGATGATAAAACAAGGGCTCGAAAGCCAGCTGCGCTCCCAGAATGCACAGCTGGAATGAACACACACCATGAACACACACCGTAAGCAAGGCCCCACTCACTTCCGAGGCATCAGATTCCCTCTGCCTCCGCACTGCGTCCGGTGTCGCGTGGGGGCTCGGGCCACCGCCTTCTCCCCCTTCGCAGCCAGGGTCGGATCCTGCACCGCTTCGGGAAGGACTGGGCTTCCGTGTCTTTAAAGAATAGTCACCAAAAAGGGTTCTTCTGCAGGTTGGAGAGGTTGCTACTTTGGAAGTACCTTGTAGCCTACTGAGGATGGGTGAGGTTGTCAAACAATCTAATTTCTCATGTGACCCCGCAAGGAACCAGTCAGCACAAGACAAGCAGGGGCTTGCGGAAGCCGCCAGCCGCTCGTGTATGCGGCACTCCGCTCCTCCCAGCTGGTGGAGGGCTGTTCGGGCCTGATCCACGTACACACAGTCTGGTCCAGGGTTCCCAATGGCTCTGGATGTGCAGCCTCCAGCTTCTAAGAGTACACACAACATATACTGCCTCTGCGAGAAAAAAGTTATTAGTATGGATTTAGCTACATGAAGATATTTATATGTAATATGCATGCATGAGTTTATGAATAATGAAGACATACGGGCATATGGCATAACCATGTGATGATTATTAAAAACTCCTCCTTCCCCCTTCCTTCTTAGTTATGCTCAGTGCTTCTTGATCACCCTTGAAAACAAATCTCATGTTGCCTTATCCTGATACACCATCAGCCACTACTTCTGGCACATGGAATGCCCTAGGGTAGCTTTCAAAAAGCCTCAATTACTGGAAATCCTTTCACTTATGATTACATATTTATTCTGACTCTTTATTCTTTTTATGTTTCCCTCTATTTTCCCCTGCAAAAAAAACCCAGAGGATAAAACCACTATATAAATGGGGAAAAATATCTTAATAACCTACTAAAATTCATTAATTTCATTAATATTTCTCCCTAAGTATTCAATGAATGCTATAGAAAAGGAATAAGGGGCATTTAACATCTTCTTGAATACTGGCATCTGACATGCTCATAATTTTATTATTATTTTTTAAATATGGTTTTATTGATTTTAGAGAGAGAGGAAGGGAGAGGAAGAAAGAGACAGAAACATAGATGTAAGAGAGAACCACTGATCGGCTGCCTCCTGCATGCCCCACCCCAGGGATAAAGCCCACAACCTGGGCATGTGCCCCGACTGGGAACTGAACCAGTAACCTCTTGGTACATGGGTCGACGTTCAACCACTAAGCCACATGCTCATAATTTTAAATTATCATTTTGTGTATTTATTTAGATAGTAAATGGCAAACAAACATACAAGATAACAAGAAAGAAACCAAGGTAAACTCACCCAGCCAACAATTAACAAAAAATATCTCCCTTCAGGTTCCTGAAAGACTTCAGTGTTTGAGTCTGTAAAAGGTTGGAGGTGATGTCGAGGAAATACTTCTCTCCATATGACCAACTGACCAATTCTTTGTTTTGCTGCTAAAGGCAGGAGGCCATAGTGGCGACAGTATATAGCAATATCAATAAGATCATCCTTAGGCAAATGACTGCATATCAAATAACCCTTGAATTTAACCACAAAGAACAAAAGTCAACCAGTGATATCAAGCAATAATCCCATAATATATTTCTAAAAGTTTTATAGGTACTTCTTCAGTTGACTTAAATTATTCCAGTTTCAAATGGAATAAATCAAGACATAGTAAAAATAATTTCCCTCCCCTGAGGTCAACTAGAGATAAAATATTTATGATAACTTAAGTCTAAAACAGGTAGACAGTAGCACGAAGCAAGTCAATCACCTCTGAGTAGCATGAGCCTGAGTGGCAGAATTAGAACAGAACTGAATTCTGAGGAGGGAAAGTGGAGAATAGGGAGTTGAAAAATTAAAATACTGAAATTCATTTGATGCTTCACTTTCTTTCCTTCTTTTTTTACTTTGTTTCTATTGTTGACACTACTACAGATGTCCCCATACCGCCGCCCTTGTCTGTCCCCACCCCCCCTTCCCTCTGGCCATCACCACACTGTTGTCTGTGTCTATATATGTTCTTTGGCTAATCCCTTTGCCGGCTTTCATCCATCCCCCCTCCCCACCCCCTCTGACAGCTGTCAATTTGTTCCATGTATCCATGCCTCTGGATGCTTAACTTTCTTTACATGGAAGTCAACTACTTAACGTTAAAGTATTTATTAAAACAATGCATGGTTATGTCGGAAGATAAGAATAAGCACACGACTGCAAAAGGAAATCCCGAAAGCGCTCTCTCCTCCTCTCTTACACCCTTGGCCCTTTAGTTTCTTCTCTACAAATTGACAGATGCTTTAGCACACAATGAAACCAGAACTATTTCTTGCATTTGTAAATATGTAGGTACAAGTTTTGTTTTAAGATCTTAATTTTAGGGTACCTACATTCAGAGGAAAAGAAAAAGATGTATTTTTCATGTTTGTAAAAGTTTGAGAAAATTTGGTCTGTTCATACAGCAGTTGGACATTTATAAAAATTCAAGCTTCAACTTACCTTGTAGAACAGAGATGACCCTAGAATGGAGTACAGCCTCCTCATGTCATAGTAATCCTCAGACTGGGGGGAAAACAGTGGATTTAAAAATCCCCGTTAAGCAACAAGAGTTAAAATGACAACCACATTCTTTAGTAACTGAACTTTTCATAGGATCTTTATTAGAAATCAATATGCTAGGATATTAAGGTAGAAGATAATGTGAAAAATAAGTATTTTGACTTAGTCTTACTTTTTATTCTTATAAGAAACTGTTGATTAGAAACATCTAAGAATTAACATAATATTTGTTTCACCAAGAAGGATAAAAACAATTGTATCAAGACAAAAAGCTTCTACACTATCATCATCTAAAATATCTAATATTACCATATAATATTTTTGAAAGTAAAAATTGGTATAACCTATTTGGGGGCCACTGAGAAGTATGTAAAAAATATATAAAAACATATACTCTTTAATAGTAGAATTATTTATAATATGTAAAAATTTTGATGTAAAGTGATTTTTAATAATGGAAATTGGTTAACAAAATTAGGTAGATTCATGACACAATATCATACCTGTGTTTAAAACTATGGTTGATCTATATAGCACACACAAAATGTTTTAGGATATACAATTTGGCAAAGAATGCAAGCTGCAGAACCAAATATCACTAAGATCTAGTTTTTGTTAAAACCAGCACCCCTGATGCCCTGGCCAGTTTGGCTCGGTGGTTGGAGCGTCGGCCCAAGAAGCAGTGGTCATGGGTTCAATCCTGGTCAGGGGCACAAACCTGAGTTGCGGTTCATCCCTGGCCCTGGTTGGGTTGTGCAGGAAACAACTAATCATAGGTCTCTCTTACATTATGTTTCTCTCTCTCTCTCTCTCCCTCTGACCAGTCTATCTGATGATAAATGGAAAAATATCCTAGGGTGAGGATTTAAAAAAAAAAAGCACCTCTGATGATACACATGTATGTAGATATACATGGGTGTTGGTTTGTGTGTGGGTATGTATATAGAAAAGGTCTGGAAGAACGCATTCCAAACTATAAGGGTAGTTATAACTGAGGATGGAACTGGGGAGAGGATGAGGAGGGAAGACATTTGCTTTTAGTAACCAGGTTGCATTTTTTATCCAATATGTATGCATTACTTCTATAATTAAAAAAATAAAATCTAAAGAAAAGCAAAACCTGGAAATAATATAAATATCCTTAATTGGGGAATGGATAAACACTGTGATACATTCATACAATGGAATATTATTCAACAATAAAAGGGACGGAATTACTGATACATATAATGACACCAATGAATCCAAATTCATCATGCAAGGTCAGCGATTTTCAACCTTTTTCATCTCATGGCACACATAAACTAATTACTAAAATTCTGCGGCACATCAAAAAATGTATATTTGCCAATCTGACAAAAAAAAAAAAAAGGTCTAATTTTTATTGATTTACAACAAAACCAATAGTAGTAGTAATTATCTACCTTTTGCTCCAAAGTGACTTTTAAAAAAATCAGGTGCCTATACTTGTATATAAGGATTTCTGGTACCAAGAATTAACCAATCAGATGCAATATGATGGGACCAATAAGATGCAACTCTGTTATGTGACCTATATATCTATGATTCAAGACAGAGCATTCACACCAGACGGCTACGGCTATTGTGCTGGCTGTTGTCATGTTGTTTTTTTGACAGTCTAAGGGAAAAGAGGTCAGTGCCCCGGACTAAATAGTCAGGCACTGCATGTTTTAAAAATTCTTGCAGCACACTGGTTGAAAATTGCTGGGCTAAATGAGAGAAGTCAGATCCAAAAAAAATTACCTACTGTATGATTCCATTTATATGATATTGCAGAAAAAGTAAAAACCATGAAGATGGAAAACAGATCAGTGGTTGGCAGGGGCTGGGGGTGGGGAGAGGGGTTGACTTTAAAGAAGTGAAGATGTAAATTATACCTTAATAATAATTTAAAAAACTAAAGAACACAAAATAAGGATATAAGATTAAATCTTAAATCTAATTTCTAAACACTTAGACTAGATCTTATTTTAATTTTCTTCAGTTACAGATGACATTCAACGTATTTGAACTCAGGTGTACAGCATAGTGGTTAGGTAATCATATACTTTACAAATAGTGTTCCCCTCATTATTATTTTTTTCACTGTGAATTGTTCACTGTGAGTTTTGATTAAGTGTGTACAGCTATGTAAGTGCCACCAAAAATCAGGATATAGAAGTTTCACCATCATCTCCCACCAGATTTTGTGCTGAGTAGTGTTCCATTGCATGAATACACCACAGTTCGTTTCTCTATGCACCTGCTGATGGACATGTATTTGAATTGTTCCCAGTTTTTGGCTATTACAAATAAAGCTGCTATGAACATTTGTTGACAGGTCTTTGTATCGACATGGTCTTCTGTTTCTCTGGGTCAAAAGATAGGAATAGAGTGGCCGAATCATATGATCAGTGTAGGTTGAGGTTCTTAAGAAACTGTCAAACTGTTTTCCAAAGTAGTAGTCTCAGTTTATCAACTATGACCAGTACATGGCTAATTTTGTTGCATCTATATCCCTCCTTCTCACTTCCTGCTGAATTATTTCAAAACCAATACCAGACGCTATGCTATTTCACTTGTACACACTTCAGAATGTATAGGAGGGCTTAAAAATATATATTATCATAATATCATTACCACATCTAAAGAACTACTCTCACCTAATAGCCAATCATCAGTATTTATAGTTTGACTGTCTCATAGATATTTTTTAGAAATTTTGTTCGTTTGAATCAGGATCCAAGTAAGGTCTGTATATTGAAATTGGTTGATATGGTATAAGTCTCTTGTAAGTGATAGGTTCTCTCTCAACTTCTCCCACCCATCTCCCTTCTAATTTATTTGTTGAAGAAACTGTCTTATTGTTTCCCAGTCTAGATTTTGCTGATTGCAGTCCCTTTTCCCCAAGTAGGGTCATTGCACATGTCCCTTTCCCCCTGGTATTTCCTGAAAACTGGTAGTTAGATCTGAGGCCTGCTCAAGTACACTTCATAGGTGGTGTGTGTGCTTCCATCGGAGCCGCATACTGTCTGGCTGACTTGTGTGAGTGATGTTAACAGCTACTTATAATCATTGCTTAGATGCCATTCATGCACTAGGGGAATTGCAAAATGGTGACATTCCAATTCTGTCATTCTTTCTTTCTTTTTTTTTTTTTTTTTTATCCTCATCCGAGGACATTCTTCTATTTTTCTGTTCAGGTAGAATGGGAGGGAGAGAGAGGAAGAGAGAGAGAGAGAGAAACATCAATGTGAAAGGGACACATCGAGTGGCTGTCACCCGAAGGACCAACCAGGGCCGGGGACAAACTGCAACTGAGGTACGTGCTCTTAGCGGGAACCGAACCCGGGACTCTCTGGACCGCAGGCCGATGCTCTAACCGCTGAGCAACACTGGCCAGGGCCTGTCATTCTTTCTTGATACATTAGGTAGTCCACTTCCATAAAGATACCCCCCTGCCTATCTCTACTTGGTAACCATGAGGTGTGGTTCAGATAGGAAAGGCAGATAAAAGTTTGATTCTTCTTCCTTACTGACCAGTTTTCACAAAAGTGACTTGTTTCCCTAGCTCTTTCCCAAGTTGACCAAGAAATTTTTCTTTTTTCCTTTAGTATCATTATGAACTTATGACTTAAACATACCTGATATGTTTCAATCTCTTGCAGTTATTATCCTTATAGATGCTTAAGTGGAAGCCTCTTCAAGTTGTCTCCTGTTTACTTGAACCCTACATTAACCCTAGTAATTTTTGAAAGTTTCCTTGATTCCTGATATAACAAGATGGTGCCAGGCTTATCATGTACATTTTCAGGCCCAAATCTAGATTCAGCCATTGCTCTTAGGAATCTTGGTTCCTTTTATTGAGAAATATTATTTATATACCATGGCCTGGGTGATAGTGGTGCTCATTACTACTGGGGATGGTCACAATTTCTAGGCCTTTTCACTGAACAGAGCTATGAAATACATTTTTTTTTAAAGATTAAAAACCATACTGATACTTCCAATTTAAATACAGATCTACAGGGCTTTTACTTAATTTAATCAACATTACGTGTGTGTCCTATCTCACAAAGCCCAGTTCTTAATGATACTAAGGTAATTTATCATTACATATACATTATGTAACAAATATTTTTAACTGAATAGAAATCTTTAGGCAAGCAAAATAGATTTTGTCCTTGTCAAATCAGAGACCTAATGTTATGTATTTCAAGATCATTACACGCCCACTTGTAAAATATTTAGAATAATGACTGATTTATGAAATGAGAAGTCAACATTGTCTTTCCTAAAATCCACTGCTTCTCTTACCAGTTCTGCAAAATCTGCAGCCTCCAAGTCACTCAGAGCCGTGTCTAATTCCATCTGTGGGGGTGGGTGGGGGTAAACAAATATTTAACTCACAACTCATTTCTAATCATGGCCATATAAAAATGTTTAATAATTAATTGAAGAACTGAGTATCTTTCTCCAAATAGAACATCTCGTTTTTAAGCTTTGCAATGGCAAAAAAGTTAAATTAACATATAGGCATTTTTTCAATTAAATCACAATTGCAAAATGGGCTTCACTCTGTATTCAACATAAAATAATTTATAAGATTAAAAAGTTGCTTTCAGTTTTGAGTTAGAAAACATTTTAACATATTAAAATTCTTAGAGAAAAAAATCAGTCGTAATGTAGCCAATCTATTTAAGTTGTTTTTGTTTTTCTATTTCCTATGTATTTCTCAACAGATGGATTCTTAGAAAAATGCCAACATTCTTCCCTGTCTCTCTCTCATGTTTTATATAAAAAGACTGTTAATCTTTATTCATGGATTAAAACATGAAGGCAAGTGTTCCCCTGGAATCGGGCACAGTTTAACTACACTATAGAGTTATTAGAAAAATCTTTTACTTAGGATTTAGCCTTTTTTTCTATGGAAATTGCCTGAACTCCTTCATGCACATTTTTTCCCTTCCTAAAGCATTCACAATTTAAAAACAATAAATTTAATCAGCAGTTTAATATGTGCATATACATAAATTAAAAACTATTGGCAATCAAAGTTTCTAGCATATGTGCTATTTGTGAGAAAGAATTCTTTCTAAAACAAAGTGCAAGGCACTCTCTGCAGAACTGTGTTACCAACTGGGTCTCACTGGGATGACAGAAGCTTTGGAAACATTAGTCATGCCTTTCAGTGCTTTTCACACTGTATGACTTATTACTCTCTTGTGACCTACACTTTTCTGCATCTAGCAAATTCTTCATGTTCTCCTTTCTGCAGCTACAATGTCTCTTGAAAAAAAACTATAGGACACAAAGAAAGTTACCCACTTGTGATTTTGAACTTCAGAAACATTGCTGTTTAATGGGTTGCTGCTCCTGCTATAGAACTCTGTAGGCTAAAGCACAAGGTTGCTATAATTGTTTCCCATATTCCTTAAGGGAAAAGGTAGAATAAATTTTCTCTTAATTATTTCAACATATCTTAGGAAAAATTATTTTTTTAAAAAAGAGAATATCTGGCAAACAAACAAAATAAGGAAATTCTCAAACACCTGAGAACGATAACTAAAGACCTCATTGTATACTAAACTCAGAACAAGTCAGTTTTTGCTAAATTAAAATAACTTTCCACCTAAAATTTATTAGGCACAAATAACCTCTCACACATATGTTTTTAACTAGATTTTTTAAGGCATAAAATTCCTTAATATTTTTCATTAGACAATATATGGTCACTAAACCCTATATATATATTTTTTAATCCTTACCCAAGGATATTTTTCCATTGATTTTTAGATAGAGTGGAAGGGACAGAGGGAGAGAGAGAAAAACACTGACTCTTACCTACAATCCTGAAAATAACAAAAAGCTTAAGGGGGGAAAAAGAGAAGATTGATTCTTATTCTATGACACCTAGGCTTACCTTGATTTCCTGCGGGAGAACGAGCCACCGCACTCCAGGGAGATTGTCGAGAAGAACTGCACCGGCGGCCTCGTACTGCTGGGCACCGGGACTGGCCCTGCTGTGCAGCCTGGCAGGCTGGAGGGCTCTTTGAAAGAGCAGTTCAAAGAAATGATCCAAACGAGGAACGTTCTCAACCTGGCAAAAGGCACTGAAGAACCCAGAGCTCTGTTAGAACGCGCAATGGTCATCTCGTGCGTGCTGCCAGGGCCCTGGGCCTTTCCCAGCCCAGGAGCTCCTTACTTACCCTGTTCCTCGGGGAGAACTACTGCCGTAATGTGCGAATGGAGTGTGTTCAGAAATTCACCCTGTCGATATTTTTTACCCTGAAACCTACTCTCAAATGCACTGAGTAGATGCTCCTATGGAACATCCATGGGCTAATACGAGTGGTGTGTCTACAACAGAATGGGCTGAAGTACCCTCTTTGTAAAAAATGTAAATTGCTTTTACCTCTGACTATCAGCCGTTTATATCTCTCAATATCTTTTGGACAATATGGGAAAACAAAGAGATTTTGAGCTGTGTAATAGTATAGATCTGATCTAGTTTTGAATCTTATCACTATACTATAAGATAGACATCACAGGAAAATCATCTAACTTTTGTCCGAACTTTTCTCCCACTCTGTAAAAGTGGGGAAATACAATTTAATTCACATTCAAAGTATGTAGTATATAATAAGTATAAGCACATATTAGGCTTATTACTTAGTAAACACATAAATTAGCCTAAGTTTCTTCCCCCTTCTTTATTAATGAAGGCATAACTGTTGAAAACGCAAAAGAGGGAGAGAGAGAAACTTGGTTTTAGCCATGTATAAAAAATACAGCTGTGCCTGTGACTATTCACTGAACAGCTCACTGGATAACACAGTAACTGGTGCATATCAGAATACTACTCACCGATCCATTCGACAAATTATCTGAGTGCCTGCTATATTCCAGACACTATTCTCATTGCTGGGAGCACAGGGGGAGCTCAGTACAAAAGCCAAAGGTGGGAGGAGGGGGGTGCACAGGGGTGCACAGGGTTGGCCTGGGTGCCTGCAGAACAGTGCAGACGGGCGGGTGTGATTTGAGATCCAAAATAAAAAGGTAGGTAGGAGCCACATAACAGAAAGATCGCTTTAACTGTGTTTGGAAATTAATTAAAAGTGGACTTGACTTGGGATGGTGAACACACAATACAATATACAGATGATGTATCATAGAATTGTATACCTTAACACCTATATACTTTTATTAACAAATGTCACTCCAATAAATTAAATTAAAAAAGAAACGTAATTAACGTAGCAAGAATGGAGAGAAGGAAGCAGTAGGAGCTGAGTGCGGTAGTGAGAGGGGTTGTGGCTGAGGGTGATGGTGAAGATGGGGAGAACTGGATGGGTTGGCTGGGAATGGTGCAGGAAACTGTTATAGCTTCAGTTTGATCACAGCACTAAACTCTGTTAATGTACCATCAGTTTTCTGTGGCTCAATTCGCCTTTCATGTCTTTCCTAATCAGAAAAAAACCTTGCCCTGGCCAGTTTGGCTCAGCGGTTAGAGCGTCGGCCTGCGGTCCGGAGAGACCCGGGTTCGGTTCCCGCTAAGGGCACGTACTTCGGTTGCGGTTTGTCCCCGGCCCTGGTTGGTCGTGCGGGTGGCAGCTACTCGATGTGTCCCTTCACGTCGATGTTTCTCTCTCTCTCTCCTTCCTCTCTCTCCCTCCCACTCTATCTGTGCAAAAAATGGAAAAATATCCTCGGGTGAGGATAAAAAAAAACCAAAAAAACCTTGCCCTGGCCGGTTTTGCTCAGTGGTTAGAGCGTCGGCCTGCGGTCCAGAGAGACCCAGGTTCAGTTCCTGCTAAGGGCATGTACCTCGGTTGCAGTTTGTCCCCGGCCCTGGTTGGGTTGTGTGGGTGGCAGCCACTCGATGTGTCCCTTTCACATCAATGTTTCTCTCTCTCTGTCTTTTCCTCTCTCTCCCTCCCACTCTATCTGAACAAAAAATGAAAAAATGTCCTCGGGTGAGGATTAAAAAAAGGAAAAAAAAACCTTGTTGTTAAAAAATTATTGCAACGTGACTATTAACAACATATTGGATCCATACTGCTTTTTAGTTTGAAGAAATCAATGGGTCTTCACATTTATTGCACAATTTGCCTTTCAAGTTCTCACTTGAACAAGAAGAAACTAATTAAATTTGCTACCAACTTGGAGATACTTCCAAATCAGTGGAAGCTAAATTTCAAGATAAATTTCAGAGAAATCAAGAGTCCCTCTGCCTCCAAACTACTCCACTGAAATCTGCAGATCAACTCCAACTGATGATCTTCCTGAGCAGAATTCACTGTAGGAGTTTTTTCCTTGATTACCTCTGGTTTTATGAAAACAGAAAGCTTCGATTAGGGCCAAACATAGCAAGGTTTGCTCATCTAGTACAAATTGAAGGCGGTAGTTTATAACCACACCCTTACACCTCACTGGTTAAACATTTCCTTACTAGTAAAAGGTAAAAGCCTGGACTTTAGTAGTTCACACGTTTGGAAAATGCTAACAAGCGGGTCTGAGAGGAATGTGTCTCCTAGGCAGCTCTCGAAGCAGAACACTGCGAACCAGACAATTACCAGATGGCACAGTCACAGAAGGTTCCTGCTTTGAGAACAGCAACAGCAGAGATCCACAAAGACACAGAGAGCGGATACCACTGCGGTTTGGGAAAATGTGTGAACTGATACACAGTTAACGCTTTGAAAGCAAAGGTATCATTTTAGCTCTCTGAAGTAATGGAACTTACAAAAATCCCACAAAGAGAAAAATTTATTTTCCACTCATAATTTTACGTGTTCAAATGTTGAAAGGCTACCTCAAATATCCTTCTTTGATCAAGAAACACACATCACATTATACTGTAAGGTTATAAAAGCAAGAGGCAGAAAAATATGTACAGTATGAGCTCACATGTGTAAAGAAATAGAGTACTCATATTCACATTACATAGAAAATAAACATGGAAGGAAACTGAACAGTCAATACCTTATCCATTGTCTTTTTATTTGTTTTAATAGTGCATACATATTTTTTACCTAACATTTTTTTTAGAAGGAAGTACTCCATTTTAGGATGGTACATTTGACAATGGTTTCATAATCAGAGAAAAAGGCTACATAAACACTTAAAATCTTCTGTTTTGAACAAATGCTCTTACAGTGACCCCTACAGAAATATATCAGAATATAATTGTGGTTCATCACTTTTCACTAAAGTAACATATGACACCAAAAAAAGAAAAAGCCAGGGATCGAATGAAAAACTGCTTAGAGCTGTAATAAAAGCCACTAATAAAGGATGAGAAAATAAGAAGGGAAAAAAAACAAAACGAAACTCAAAACAACTAACTTGCCAACCAAGGAGTAGTAGTAAGTACAAAAGGTGATTGAGAATCATACACTTAAAACTTGAGATTTAATTCAAAGAAGTACTTACCTATCTAAAGAACCATACATAAATTTTAATATTTGGGCAACATCTTCTATAATATTCCTTAGCTGAGGCAGGGGAACTCTAAAAAAGGCAAAAACAGTTGCTTATGTATAGCGCAATCAAATGATGCGTATCTGAAAGAAGCAGACCCCGTTACAGCCTCCACTCAGCTCCCTCGCTGGGCTTTCCTCTCCCCCCTCTGACGGCCTGTGCTGCCCTTTTCTTGCCATGGTATTTTGTTTTTCTTTAGCCTTTTGGACTACTACAAAAATAAAGACAATTTTTTTACCCTGCCACTACATCCGAAAGTGTCTTATTATGGATTTTCTACATTCTTGTAAACCCACACTTACAAAACAACCCAGCTTTTCATAATCCAACCCACTGGCTGCGAGCTCTCTCCAGCAGGGTCCTTGTGCTATTTTATTAAAGGGACTTGAGCATCCCCAGATTGGGTATCCAGAGGGGTCCTGGACCCAGTCCCCGCGGACAGGAAGGGACGACTACAGTCCCCTTTACACGGAAACATGCACCAGCTGATTAAAGAGAGCCATCGTCGCACCATGATTGCCTCGTGTTACAATTCTGAACCCCACATTTATGATAGATCATATCTCTGTTGAAAACTAAAGTCACCTTTAAAACATAATCCTTTTGATATTTTTCACTGTAGCCTACTTTGGAGTTCCTGTTTGTGGTGTTAAAACATGTCCCTAAATTGTTTGATACTCTTCCCCTCAAAAGATGGAGCTTAATTTCTTCTCTTGAGTGTGGGCTGGACTAGGTAACTCCCTTAACATTCCCTTAGTGGAAATGATAGTGTATCTATTCTGAGACTAAGTCATAAAAGGTCTTGCAGCTTCTCCCTTTCTCTATTTTGGATCTTGCTTTGCGATAAGCCTGTGGACATGTGTGAGGATGCTCAAGCAGTTCGATGGAGAGGTCCATGTGGCATGTGTGTGACAGCAGCCATGTGTGTGAGCCATCTTCTGACTAAATTCCTGGCCCACATTTTGACTGCAGCCTCGAGACAGCCTGAGCCAGAACCAGCCAGCTAAGTTGCTCATGGATTCCTCACCTACAAAAAATACCTATGAGATAATAAATAAATGTTTACTGTTTTCAGGCTGTAAATTTTGGGGTAATTAGTTACGCAGGAATAGAAAACTAATGCACTGTTACATAATGAAAGAAATCTGATTAACAAAGTCATTAGGAATTAGTAATTAGAAAATAGTCATATTCATGAGTTCAGATTGACTGGATAATACATTTTTGGGGTTTAAGGCAAAACACCAAAAGAAAATTTGTCCAAACTGGTAGGTATTCTCTAAAGTTGTGTCAGTCACATACTATAGTATTTATTTTATAATTGACTAATTGTTAGACAATATATGAGGGTTCTATGGACCAGCAGGGAAAACTAAAGTGCATAGTTTCATAGAAACTGACCAGTTATGCCTGGCTGGTATGGCTCAGTGGATTGAGCCTCGTCCCATGGACTGAGAGGTTCTAGTTTGATTCTTGGTCAGGGCACAGGCCTGGGTTGTGGGCTCAATCCCCAGTAGGGGGCATGCTGGAGGCAGCCAATCCGTGTATCTCTCTCACATGGATGTCTCTCTCTCTAAAAAATCAATAAACATATTAAAAAATAAAATAAAAAAGAAAGAAATTGACCAATTGCTGCCTAAAGTAGGCAAGTCCCTAAATTACAAGTGTTACAAATCATTGAACAGGGACATAGTGTAGTCTACCAGTAGTGAAACCCATCACTGTGGGGCTGTTCTCCATATTCCTACATTTCTTCAGCTTTCATGTGCTCAGACATTAGGGAAGCGATGTAATACTAAGAACTCAGACAGACTCTTGTTCAATTTCCAATTCTGCCTCTTGCTGATTATGTGACCTTTGGCAAGTTATTTAAACCTCTTTGTTTTACGCTCCTCATTGGTAAAATGTGACCAGAAATCGTTAAGTCCATTGGGAGCTGATTTTGAAGATTAGAGGAGATCAGTGAATGTGAAGTACCTAATGCAGTCTCTAGGTACATGGTCAGCTCACTGTCAATATCAATCCTGCTCTTACCTCCAACTATTAAAATAAAATATATTTAAAAATACTTGCAAACAAGTTAAGAAGGAGACCATGATGAACTTATAAGACATACCATCAGAGAAGTCACTTTAGGGTAAATATTCCTTATTTTGCCAAAGGTACTCAAGATCAGGGCAAAACACCTTTCTGCTGACCATAATTCTCCAAAATCTCAACAGTCAACAACTGTAAACATGCAAAATCTGAATCATGGTATTGTCCAAAGTTTGACCAGAGGACAAGCTCATCTCTATGGGCCATGTCGCAGAGGACAGTGTGACAGCCCCACCCTTACCAATCGGTCCAATGGGCCCTCCTGCCCTTTCTGCACTACTCATATCACAGGAACACACAGCTATTGTACTAGCACAACAGACCTTTCAACTGTAAAGCAGCTTACGGAGTTTGCCTTCAGACAGAAATGGAGTGATTTTAATGAAACAGACTTTGTTAGCAGTATTCGAGAGATTATTTTAAGGTAAAAAAAAATCTCAACTTACTCTTTAGCAGGCAGGCCGATTAGCAACAACTTGTCGGATTCTTTCCAATAAGCCACGTGAATTTGTTTCCCATTTAAAAGAAGGGATGAGCTGAGAAAGAATAAAGTTAGATATCGTCAGTGTTAGAAAACTGTGAACAGTCGTTCAGGAAAGGCTGCATGTGGGGTGATTCAAGAGCCGCGGGCTTAACAAGCACAGTTCTCGGCACATCCCTAACTGCCGCGCGGAAAAGACAGGAAATTGTGTGACAACAAAAACATATTCTGAAATAGTTCTTTAAACTCCATTAAAAAAAAAAAGAAGTTTTTTGCTAACGCTGACTATACAATTTTTTTTCCAAAAGAATGCTTCCTTCCCAGTGTGTTCATTTACTAAATCTTGTCTGACTGCCAGCACATTAACAGGCTTTACTAAAAGAGACTACAACAGAAGACATGGTCCCAACTTACAAGATAATAATTCAGTATGGGGCACAGATACACAGATAAATAACCAAAATATAAGTCAGATTTAAACATGTTCCTCAAGGAAACTTTTAGAGTGATAGATACATTCATCGCAGTGATGGTTTTAGTATCTAGACCTATGTCAACACCAATTATATTGTCCAGTTCACATATGTGCGGTTTATTGGACTTCACGTATACTTCAGTGACGGTGGAAAACAAAAGAGAGAGTATAATGAACTATGAAAATAGAAAACATGAGTCCTTTTTATAGGGTGGGTATGTACAAAAATAAAATTAAAATAGATTTAGTATTTTCCTTCTTTAAATGAAAATACACACCTCAGTCTTTATCTTTTTAGTCCTTCAGATATAGTGTACCTTCTATACTGCAGTAGATATGTGGGATTTTAAATATGAAATGCTAAATAGATTTTTGTTTCAAAAAGGATATTACTTTTGGCTTAAAGTTTAAAAATGCATCTACATTTAGACAGATATTAAATTCTAACAGACATTAATATTACTATAGTTTTAAAAAGGCATGTGCAATAAAAAATGCGCACATCGCTAAAGAATCCCTGAAATAACAATTTTCATACTTGTTTCACAAAAAAGGTTTTTCTGCCTCTATTTAAAAACAAACCCACATGGAGAATTTAAATTGAATTTTCGTCCTAATACAATTAGAAAAGAACCCTGAACCTTGAAAACATATGCTGAGAGAAGTTAAGTGACAAATGCCCACACATTATGATTTCATTCACACACAGTGTCTAGAACAGGGAAACGCACAGAGACAGAATGTAGACGAGTGGTTGTCTAGGGTCTGGGGTGGGGCAGGTGGGCTGACGGCTAAAGGATGCAGGGTTTCTTTCTGAGGTGATCAAAATGTTCTAAAGTTGACTCTGGATGGTTGCACATATCTGAGAATATACAAAACCACTGAATCGTATGATACAAACTGTATCTCAATAAGGCTGTTTAAAAAATCAAAGGAGGCTTGCAGCATGACTTTATGATTGCAAACGCATACACTACATGGAACCTCAGTTACTAGTGTCTCGGAAATAAACCAATATTTTCTATATACACACTATATTAAGGGTCCCACAGCTGAAAAATGACTTTTATTTAGAACAACAAGTTTTCTTCCTGTTGTCTTGCAGATACTACTTCTTTTAACACCACAGAGATGTCCTTTTTACCAGAAGATGGAAAAAGAAAAGTTAAAGCCTAGAAAATCCAAGCTGACATTTTATCAGTATTTTAGGGCTCTTAAAATTTGAGATAAACCGTTTTTAGTAAAGTTAAAGATTGTTGAAATATTAAAGAAGAAAATGAGTTATATTTCATAAATTTATTTTATGAAAAAATCAACCCCAAAACAAAACTTAAAAGCTTAGAGCCCCTCTTCCTATAAGTTAATCATGGCATTTCAAAGTCAGGGCTGGATAAGCCAATGTGGAATGGGATATTTTGCTTTATAATGGCCTATGTGATGTATTTTATTTTTCCCAATTTTTTTTTTAACATCAGTCTTGCCTATCTCACTGGAAAAACTTGCAAAGATGATACTGCATTCTAAATATGCCTCCTGAGGTGTATTCTGTATTTTTCTATCATTGTTGTAAGAACCATGGAAAAAATAAGCACTTAGTCCTTCTTACCCACCACAAAGGCATTACCCACCCAGGAAATTAACAATCAAGATAAAAACATGAAACAGCCAAGACTCATCATAATGCCATGCTTACGAGATATCACCTTCATGAAACAAATTCTAAAGGATAGGTCATTGGTCCAACTTTGTGTGCCAACCCCGGGCTAGTGTGGCTCAGTTGTTAGAGTGTCGGTCCACTCATCTAAGGGCCATGGGTTTGATTTCCGATCAAGGGCACGTACCTGGGTTGTGGGTTTGAGCTGGGGCATGTGAGGGAGGCAACCAATCAATGTGTCTCTCTCACATCAATGCTTTTCTCTCTCTCCCTCCCTCCCTCCTTTCTAAAAATCAATGGAAAAATATCCTCAGGTGAGGATTAACAACAACAAAAGTAATAAAATAAATAAATAAAGTGTGCCAAAATAGCCAGATCTACAGCCATACTGAGAACCTACCCTTTAAAAGATGACCGGTAGAAATAACTTAGGTGAGAAACAAAGTATCTGCAGATACATTACAGATACAAATATATTTGTATACTGGATACTTCTCTTAGCATTTTGTCAGAATCAAGGTGAAGAACTTGAAATAAAAAGAATTAAAGCTAAATAAAAATCAATTATTACCTAGTGACTTGTGTCCCAGTTACATTTTCCAGCATGTCACACAGTGTGAGAAATATCCCTCTCACACTTTTAAGTTTCTGAGATGCATCGGATACTGGATAATGATAAAGAATTTCCTGCTGTTAAAAGAAAACAAAACAAAACAAAATGATCACATTCCCCAAATTTTCCAACCGTTTATTTTTTTTGTCATGGAAAGTTCAGATTTTGTATTAAGAAAAGAACAACAACAACAAAAGAATCCTTTCCAGCTTCAGTGGGCGTTTCATTGAAACATAAGAAGAAAAATATGCCTGGAATTCAACACATTCGAAAATCAGTTAGAGACTGTCAAAATTAGTCATAATATCAAAATATGTACTGAGTAGGACACTAATTAGTTGGAATAATTTCAAACAATTTTTTAAACTTTAATCTACTTTATAATAAATTCTAATACTAATATTTTACTATATTTCATTCTATAGATATTTTTACCTCCTGTAGTTAATATCTCCACAGATATTACATGTAACTTTTAGGAGTCTTTAAATTTAATTACTTTCATACTGACTTTAAAAAGATAATCTTTGTCATTTTTGGTGAATTTGTTAAATTATTACATCTTTATTTAAACCCAACAAAACACTAAAATGAAAAAGTTCGAGTACTGCAGATAGGAAGAAAGAAGCATCATGATAATATGAAATTGTACCTGTCTGAGACTTGAAAGGGTTTTCCCACCACAAATTAATCTGAATGAAATCTTTAAAAGACAGCACATTTTAAATTGTGGAAAATGCTAGATCTGTAAGATTAATTCTCAAAATGCTTACTACTTTTCCATTTCCAAGAAGAGCCTGTTTCCAGGAACATGCAGTTTTAACAAAATACCATATTTCAAATTCAGGATGTGAACTTCCACACAAAGGGATAACTCATTCTGGACCTCACTTTTTCGCTGTTAAGGCATCATGCCACTTTTCTTACAAGGCAAATAAATAGCAGGCAAAATAAAAATTTCCAGAGAAAAACCTTGGAGAATTCAGAGTAGCTTGCACTAATACTATTTAATGGCAATATACATAAATGTAAATACAGCCACTATTGAAAGCCCATCCTCCTAAAACATTATCAGTTCTTTTCCTTGGCTCTCTACCTCTCTAAGACGGTTCTGCACCTTGCTTTGGTCTCTTTATATAAGAAATTGTGACATGGTGTGTATGTCTTGGCAACTTTTACATTAAGGCAAATATAAATAATGACGAACTGTACACATCTGCTTTTTATACTTACTAACAAGCACATTCAATATATGTAAATTGCTATGGAATGTGTTGGCCAAATACACTGCCTAACAACTCACATCTTGCAATTTTTCTAGTGTAAAAACAGTTAAACACTTTATCTCTAGAAATTAAGTCAAGCATCAGTTAAGATCTGTTATGTCTACTTACATGTTTAAAATTTTGTTAGTAAATAACAAATTTTGTTTTTGTTTTGTTTTATCTTCACCCGAGGACATTTTCCCATTTTTTGTTCAGATAGAGTGGGAGGAAGGGAGGGAGGGAGGGAGGGAGAGAGAGAGAGAGAGAGAGAGAGAGAGAGAGAAACATCGATGTGAAAAAGACACATCAAGTGGTTGCCACCCGTACGACCCAACCAGGGCCGGGGACAAACTGCAACCGTGGTACATGCCCTTAATGGGAACTGAACCTGGGTCTTTCTGAACCACAGGCCAACACTCTAACCGCTGAGCCAAACCGGCCAGGGCACAAATTTTGTTAGTAAATAAATTTTGTTAGTAAATAAAAAAAAAATTTGTTAGTAAATAACACCACTTTAAACAACTAACCATAGTTCCTTTGAGTTGTTTGGTAAAATTTCCAAATCATGTAATTCGAAGAAAACAAGCTTTTCTTAAATATGTAACTCACAAGAAAACAAAATGACCCTATGACATTGTGTTGTAAAGTAAGTCATATCAGGCCCTGGCCGGTTTGGCTCAGCGGTTGGAGCATCAGCCTGCGGTCCGGAGAGACCCGGGTTCAGTTCCCGCTAAGGGCACGTACCTCGGTTGCGGTTTGTCCCCGGCCCTGGTTGGTCGTGCGGGTGGCAGCCACTCGATGTGTCCCTTTCACATCAATGTTTCCCTCTCTCTCTCTTCCTCTCTCTCCCTCCCACTCTATCTGTACAAAAAAATGGAAAAATGTCCTCGTGTGAGGATAAAAAAAAAAAAAAAGTAAGTCAAAGTAAGTCATATCAGCGAGAAACGGTCCTTTAAGAAAACCTTTGTTCCAAGCGCTGTAGCAACCAGCCCGGGGAGCCTTATTATTAACGGCCTGGCGAGCTCCGCAGCTCCTAACCGATTTAATTGGCTGTATTGTAAGCACATGAGCAGCGCATTTGCTGCAGCTTCCACTCTGTTCAGTGAGAATAAAAGCCCCTCCTGATCACAGTTTTGATCCAGGGCTGTGCACAGACAGAAACCTGTTCGTCTGAGAAACATCTACACACTTTCCCATGGAAAGAAAGGCAAGGATGACAAAAGGCCTCAGCGGTACCCTCCTCTAAGACAACCTATGCAGAGCCAGGGCGCTACCACCCCAGAGATTTGTTGTGTTTTATATAATAAATGGTTAAGTTTCTCATTTGTTTTAAAGATATAAACGATTAATCATACATGCAAGAAATTAGAATTGTTAACGCTAGGTCTCTAGGCATTTCAGAACATAGAAAATAATAAAAAATATACATGAGTAAATGCCTTCTTTTCCATTTCATTTAGTGACGACATTTTGATATACAAAGAACATCAATCAAGGAAATACACCCCTTGGATAAAATGGCTTTGGCATGGAGAATACAGACTGCAAGGATTTCAAACACAAAGAAATGTAAATTAGGTAAACACTGTTTAGATCCCACGTCTGCGCCAAGCTTTATGGTAAACCAGATGCTCTGAGACTCTTGTGCTGTAAAACTAGATCCACGGCCAAAACATGCTTGTTTAACTGCTGCATATGTGAGAAGTACTGAGGTTTCCAAGGACATCCTCTGCATACCAGTCCACAACCCTTCCTCACCACTGCAGAGCAAGCTGGGGCCTCGGCTGGGAGTGGTGAGTGGTGGGCAGAAAGACAGAGGCAGGGAGCTCTGGGCCAGTGGCTCAGCAGGTGAGCTAAGCCCAAGACCAGCGGGTTAAACCCAGATAGATGCTTGAGTAAGGCTGAAGTGTCCAAGGTCAAAGGCAGAGGCAGAAGCAGCAAATTCTCTCAGGGGGAACAAATTACACTTTGGAACCACAGGACTCTCAAACATAAAATCAAGCAGTAGGCCCTGGTCAGTTTGCTCAGTGGTCAGAGCATCAGCCCGCTGATAGAAGAGTTGCGGGTTCAGTTCTGGTCAAGGGCATATATGTCGGTTGCAGTTCGATCACAGGCCCTGGTTGGGGTTGTGCAGGAGGCAACCAATCGATGTGTCTCTCTCACATTGACGTTTCTCTCTCTCTCTCTCTCTCTCTCTCCCCCTCACTCCCTCCCACTCTATGTAAAAGTCAATGGGAAAATATGCTTGGGTGAGGATTTAAAAAAAAAATCAAGCAGTAGGTTTAGCCAGTAACCTCCTTGGCAAGTCATCACAAGTCAGAGTCCTCTCAGGACGTAGCAATATTGGGATGGGCAGATTCAGAACAGAGAAAAACTGTATGAAATGCTTAGAGAAATAAATTATAGAATCATTAAGATGACCAAGCAACAAAAGACTACCAGGAACAGCACTGCAGACCTATATGCATAACAGCTAAACATTCTTCAGACTGTTTAAACAGAAAACACAGTGGAGAGGTTAAAAAACAGTATGTACATAGCAGAAGCAAGAAACTGAACAAAGAAAATAGAAGGCATTCCTTAGAGAGAAATGACTGACAATAGACTTTTTTTTTTAAATAATTTTTCTTTATTGATTTTAGAGAGAAAGGGGGAAACAGAGAGACATCGATGAGAGAGAACATTGACTGGCCACCTCCTGCAAGCCCCCCACTGGGGAGTGGGCCCACAACATGGGCATATGCCCTGACTAGGAATTAACCCGGTGGCCTCTTGGTGCACGGGTTGATGCTCAACCACTGAGCCACACCAGCTGGGCGACAGACTTCTTAAAAGCAATTATGGAAGTCAGAAGACAAGGGAACACTATCTTCAAACAGATTAAGAGAAAATCACTTCCTACCCAGTCAGCATAAGCAATACTATATCTTGACCCCATCTTCTTCCTGGCCACACAGAAAGTCTACATTTATGACCTCCTTGCACCAGGAGAGACCATATAACCAGTTCTGGGCACTGGAACATGAGCAGAAGTGATGTTGCTACTTTTAAGCCAGGCCTCGGAAATGAGCCATGTGTTATGGTTTGTTTTCTCTCTTCTCACATTGGTCAACTAGATGTAAAAGATGCGACAGAGGACTGGGAAACTCTTAGAAATAATGAAACCACTAGACGAAGGGCTCGAATCACAGAGCCACACAGCCAGTAATGTTCCATTGAAATGAGAAATACTCTTCCATTATGTTAAGCCCCTGAGACAAGAGAGTTGTCTGTTATAGCGACTGGCCTATTCTGACAATGTAGAATTTTATTTTTAATTTTATTTTTTTTCTTTATTGATTTTTAGAGAGAGAGGAAGGGAGAGAGAGACAGAAACATCAATGAGAGAGAACATCCATTGGCTGCCTCCTGCATGGCCCCCTCTGGGGATCGGGCCCACAACCCGGGCGTGTGCCCTGACCGGGAATTGAACTGGTGATCTCTTGGTTGACGCTCAACCACTGTGCCAACACCAGCCAGGCAGAATATTAAAGCTACCTTTCAAAAAGAGGTGAAATACATCAACAGATAAATAACAAAAACAATTTATCATGAAAAGACATTCACTAAAAAGAAATTCCTAACATATGTTTTAGGAAGAAAAAAACAAGATCAAGTTAGAACAGTGTGAGATATAACAAAGAATGGTGAATAAAGAAATTGGTCAGCATATATGTAAATTTAAAAAAGAAAATAAAATATGTATGAAACATGAATTTTATAATATATAATTTATACATTTTTATAAAGTATAAAATATAATAATCACTAGTAGTAATAGTATACTTATGCCAATTTGTGGAATTAAAAAATGATGGCACTAAAATATTGGCGACAATAGCATGTCGGTGAAGAGGGGGAAGATGAAAGTGAAGCATACCAAAGGCCTTGAATTCTTTTAAAAAGTGGTAAAGATCGTGTTAAACTTTAGAATCTGGTAAGACAAATAGGATAAAATTTTAAGAGTAATTATGCACACACAAAACAGAAATAGAGTATACTACAAGAATAATAATGATACAAGCAACCAAAAATAGGTAAGAAAAATATCATGGAAAAATCAGTTCAAACAGAATTTTTAAAGACAGCATAAACAAAGTCAAGTATTTCACTCATCTCTACCAATGAACTCATTGAGTTTGGCATTTAGAAGACAACAATTAGAAGAAGAGATGTACCAAAAACATAAGGACACAAAATGACTGAGAAAGTGCTTCTCCTTCACTCGGAAGACTACACTAGGTCCTCCCGGTTTCCCTGCACTTTGGGAGACACTCACCTCCTCCTTCGAAGTCTCGGAGTCCAGCTCCAGGGTGAGGTACATAACGACATGAGGGGTGTCGAGCAGATCCTGCTGCACGCCTTCAGCCTCCGCTCCCCACAGCAGTTTGACTAAATCACCTTCGGTGTTTGACTGTGCCTTTTTCTGTTTTGGTTGGGTCGTTTCCTTTTTCACGGCATATGCATTTTCTAATGTCAGTTTCACCTTTAAAAATTAAAACGACAGCGTTGATGTTCCGTCAAGGGAAAGTCAGCTGCAGTTCTCGTGAGGAGGCCCTGCACACGCACGCACACCCAGGTGCGCACAGCAGGCAGGGGTGTCGGTCTGCAGCCCGGGCTCCCGCCGGTGTCCGCACACACTCAGCAATACCTGCTGAGCAGGAAAGTATACTTCTCTGTATAAAAATTCATTTGTTTATACATAATCATTGCATTGTAAGTATTGACAGCAAAAACAAGAAATGCCCCAGAAAAAACAAAAATTAGTGTGATCTGACAGTGTACTAAAGTCTACCACCACCTTACCAAGCACTGACTCCTCTGGGAAAAGCAGAGGAGGGGACTGGGGGGTGAAGGGCGGAGGAGGGGGCTCGGGGCGGGGTGAAGGGCGGAGGAGGGGACTGGGGGGGGGGGGGGGGGGGGGGGGGGGGGTTAAAGGTGGTGAGGAGGGGGGCTGGGGTGTGAAGGGCGGAAGGGGGGCTAGGGGGGGTGTGGTGTGAAGGGCGGAGGAGGGGACTGGGGTGTGTGAAGGGCGGAGGAGGGGACTGGGGGTGGTGGTGAAGGGCGGAGGAAGGGACTGGGGGTGGTGGTGAAGGGCGGAGGAGGGGACTCGGGGGGGTGTGAAGGGCGGAGGAGGGGACTCGGGGGGGGTGTGAAGGGCGGAGGAGGGGACTCGGGGGGGGGGTGAAGGGCGGAGGAGGGGACTGGGGGGGGTGTGAAGGGCGGAGGAGGGGACTGGGGGGGGTGTGAAGGGCGGAGGAGGGGACTGGGGGTGGGGTGAAGGGCGGAGGAGGGGACTGGGGGTGGGGTGAAGGGCGGAGGAGGGGACTGGGGGTGTGAAGGGCGGAGGAGGGGACTGGGGGTGTGAAGGGCGGAGGAGGGGACTGGGGGTGGTGGTGAAGGGCGGAGGAAGGGACTGGGGGTGGTGGTGAAGGGCGGAGGAAGGGACTCGGGGGTGGTGGTGAAGGGCGGAGGAGGGGACTCGGGGGGGGGGGTGTGAAGGGCGGAGGAGGGGACTGGGGGGGGTGTGAAGGGCGGAGGAGGGGGCTCGGGGCGGGGTGAAGGGCGGAGGAGGGGACTGGGGGGGGTGTAAGGGCGGAGGAGGGGACTGGGGGGGGTGAAGGGCGGAGGAGGGGACTGGCGGGGGTGAAGGGCGGAGGAGGGGACTGGCGGGGGTGAAGGGCGGAGGAGGGGACTGGCGGGGGTGAAGGGCGGAGGAGGGGGCTGGGGGGGTGAAGGGCGGAGGAGGGGGCTGGGGGGGTGAAGGGCGGAGGAGGGGGCTGGGGGAGGTGAAGGGCGGAGGAGGGGGCTGGGGGAGGTGAAGGGCGGAGGAGGGGGCTGGGGGGGTGAAGGGCGGAGGAGGGGACTCAGGGGGCGGGGGTGAAGGGCGGAGGAGGGGACTGGCGGGGGTGAAGGGCGGAGGAGATTCGGGACGAAGAGCGACCTCGTACACCAGAAGAAGATGCTCACATATTCTTCCCTTAGACAGTCGTGGCCCATGGACACACACAATAGACAGGCCAAGGCCAAGGTAGGGCGGGAGATGGGTGGAGGGGAGCAAAGGGGGGGGGGGTAATGGGGGACATTTGTAATACTCTCAACAATAAAACAAATTTTAAAAAAAATGCTTAGGAGAGTAAGAAACAACGTGCTGGATCTTGGACCATGGCCCGGAGAAGACTATGTATCAGCGTTGTCAAGACGGTTTTCAGTTGATGGCCTGGTGCCCAGCCAGCCTGGTGAACGTCCAGGGCGGCCTCCTCCCCGATGCTGGCAGGAGCTTCACCCTCGGCGGCCTTTCTTTGAGGAAGGAGGCGGGTCGGACGCTGCCAGCTGGAGAGAACGCGCTCACTTCAAAGCCCCAGTGTGCATCTTGACTGCAAGGAGCTTTCACTTCACTAGAAGAAGCTCTAAATATACTTAATTTTGTGCAGCAAGGACGTCATCATAAGCTAGAGAAGTACGAAGTAGTCCTAATGTTTAAAATCTGACCGGAAAACAGAGGAGTAAAATGGGACATTCTAACTGTAACAATCCATAAAATTTTAACTTTAAACACTAAAATGCAATGACTCTTTTATAATTAGATTAAATTTTAATTAAAAAAAAATTTTTTTTTTTCTTTTTTTCGGCCCCTAGTGGGAACCGAATCCGGGACTCTCTGGTCCACAGGCCCATGCTCCAACCGCTGCGCCAAACTGGCCAGGGCTAGATTAAATTTTAAAAGTTAAAAAATAAGTTCATGCTTATCAAGAAAAATGTATGGTCAACATAGGTATATTTAATATATTGTATAATTTTTTAAAAATCACATTGTACAACACAGATACATACAATTTTTATTTGTCAAGCATACCTCAATAAAGCTGGGGGTGTGGGGGGAAATCTGGTTAATATTTAAAAGCAGATCAAACTGTTTGTATGCAGTAAATTGCATCTGGGGACAAAATATCTAAAAATTATTATCAATATAGTAATAATCCCTATTTTTAGAAATTTATTACAAGAGGTACCATTTTTAAGGCCAAATATAAATATATGATAAATACACATTAGAAACTCTTTTTTGATATCAGTTTTATATATTTACTTATTTTTATTAAAAATGTTAAGCATATTAGTTAGTTATTTTAATATCACCTGAGGATATTTTCCCATTTTATCATCAGACAGAGTGAGGTGGAAAAAGAGAGAAACATCGGTGTGAGAGGGACATATCGACTGGTTGCCTCCCGTAGGCCCCAGACTAGGACTGGGGACAAACTGCAACCAAGGTACGTGCCCTTGACTGCAATCGAACCTGCAACTGATTGGTCCGTGGACTGACGAACTAACTACTGAGCAAAACCGGCCAGGGCAAGCATATTATTTTTAAAAAATTCATTCATAATCCCACCGGCCCATCTAACGGTTGTTTGTATTATACTATAAAATAAATATTCCCCAATGAATAAAACCTTCCAAAATAAAAATACCTAGATGCCTTCTTTTTTGTTAGCCAGGAGTGACTTTGGCTGTGTTCAATTTTTCAATCTGTGGCTGTCTGTGGCATTTCAGGAACACTAAGTTATCCCTGTCTACTTAAAGTGAATTAAGTTAAATAAGCATCTTTTCTAAAATAAGTCTCAGAGTTTATTTTAGTAACAAGTAGAGAAGAGACTTGAGGTCTAAATTCAGTCCTGTGTATACATTCAGAATAAAGGCAAACTCGGTCACAATGAGCAGTAGTCTGTACAGAGAGTAGGAGAGAAGTCCCTCATGAAATTTTTCTGAGACCTGATGATCTCTTTCTTTACAAAACAATATCATTCCAAATGAAAAAGAACAACCTTTACTAAATTTTTTGTTTTCTGTAAATCTGATATTGAGAAATGGGCCCTTTGTATTAGAACATTGTATCAAAAAAGGCTGAGTAGCCCAGGTGGTGTGGCTCAGTGGACTGAGCATCATCCCATGGACTGAGAGGTCCCGTTCCATTCCCGCTCAGGACACATGCCTGGGTTGCGGGCTCGATCTCCAGTAGGCAGCGTGTAGGGGGTGTGTAGGAGGCAGCCGATTGATGTATGTCTCTCACATCCATGTTTCTACTTCTCCCTTCCTCTCTCTCTAAAAAATCAATAAAAGCCTTTTTTTTTTTAAAGGCTCAGTATAAAATTAGTATATTTGGGGGGGTATTAAGCAAACTAAACAAAAATACAAAAATTACAGATCCTACGCGGGAACAATCAAAATTTATCTGGCCCTGACCAGTTTGGCTCAGCGGTTGAGCGTCAGCCTGCAGACCAGAGAGTCCCGGGTTCGGTTCCCGCTAGGGGCACGTACCACCAAAAAAAAAAAAAAAAAGTATCTGATGGAAATTAATATGCAGTTAAGGTGAGGAAGAGTTGAAGAAACATTGTTTTAGAAATGATCTTAGAAGGATATGAAAAACAGTGCTTGGTATGAGGTTTTCACTCAAACCAGCAACCTATTAAGCATTATATGGCCTGAAAAACTATTTTCTGAGGGCAGCATCTGCTCTAGTGGGTTATGCTCAATATATGTATGCATGAAGCATAAACATAAAATCCTTGAACAAGAATCTGGTGAAGTGAAAGGCTTGGTGGTCAGGAAGTCCTTTACCTGAGAATAAGGATTTAGGAGCATCCAGAAAAAAATTCATGGGACCCTTTGATGGCATTGCTTAGAAATATAAGAAATCTGGAATTTGGGGAAATCCGCAGACTTTGTAATGGGAGCTTAGAAAAGTGTTCTTGGATGCTGGTCTTGGGGCAGGAGTGGCAGGGAGGGGAGGAACCTGGTTATAGGGAGGAGATGAGTGACTTCCTAGGGCCAGGCCAGGTCGGCTGGAGCGTCTACGGGAGCTGTCAGACCAGCAGTGAGCAGGGAGGAAGACGGGTCCTCAGAGAGTGCGTGCCTCAGCACGGAACAGCGTCTCCAGCTGACTCTGGTGGGCAGAGAGGTCCAAAGACAGGGGGTGATTCCCCAGAAATGACTGAAGGAAATGACTTGGTAGACTTAAAATAACAATTCTCCAATTTTACTTTAAGCAGCAACAGCAACCTAAAATGTAAGACCGTTTGCTATGCTTCATGAAGAACAAGATGCTTGAAAACCAGCTGTAATGTTATGCTTGGCAAACAACAGTGCTTCGTTTCTGTGGTACAAGGACCTTCTCTCCTCACCATGACAAAAACTCAAGCCAACACACACACCAAAGCACCATCCATTAAAATCCTGTAAGGAACTATTGTAGCCAGCATTTTTCTGATTTAAGTCAAGTTGGCTCTATAATTCCAAGATAATTACACTTTAGCAAGATATTCTGAAAAAGCGTACATGTTAAGTAACTATAAATGTCAGGAAATCTGGTTGCCTTAATAAAATAATAAAAGGTGAGACAGAAAATCAAATTAAAAGTTAAGTGCTACTTTTAAAAGGGGGGTTGATAAATGTAAAAATCAGAATATTATGAGTTTTACAGGAAAAACCTTTTATTAAGAAACATCTAAGCCCTGGCCAGTTTGGCTCAGCAGTTGGAGAGTTGGCCTGCGGACCAAAGGGTCTCAGGTTCGATCCCCAGCCCCGGTGTGGATCGTGCGGGAGGCAACCACTCTATGTGTCTCTCTCACATTGATGTTCTCCCTCTCCATCCCCTCTTTCCGCTCTATCTGAAAATCAATTGAAAAATATCCTCGAGTGAGGATAAAAAGAAAAGAAAGAAACATCTAATATAAGATAGTGTTTATGAAGTTCTCCTAAAGAGGGTTTTCTGTTGTTCTTCCATGGACATTAACCTATGACAAGTTGCGTGGTTCCTCATGTCCTATCTCACTCAGAACGGTTTCTGCTGTGTGCAATGTGCCCATGCTTTTCCCTCCTTCTCTCCCAGTTCAAGAGAGGACATGCCTCTCCTCAGGTCTAAGGACATGTTCTCTATAACACCTCACTTCCAGAATTTTGTTGTTTAATTATCTACTTCTGTCTCCAACCTACCTCATTTAACATGCGAATTCTCTCTCCTTGATCCTCTTCTCTTTGGGGCAATCGCATTGAATTACTCAAGACCAAACCTGGAAGGCATCTTTACTCCTCTCTGTCCTGCAGGAAGTACTGTCTCCTTCGCTTCTCACATGTCTTTTTGTTTTGTTTTATTTTGTTTTTTTCATTTATTGATTTTAGAGAGAGAGGAAGTGAAAGGGACTGAAGATAGAAACATCAATGAGAGAGAACATCAACTGGCCACCTCCTGCATGCCCCCCACTGGGGATCGGGCCCACAACCTGGGCATGTGCCCTGTCCGGGAATCAAACCAACGACCTCTTGGTGCATGGGTCGACGCCCAACCACTGAGCCACATCAGCCAGACATGCTTCTCACATGTCTTAAATCTAATCTCCTCCTCTTCCACATCCCCAGCCAATGCCTTGCCTCAGGCCTTAATCACCTCCCTTCTGGACTACTCTAAAGCTGACCACCTGGTTTGCCAACCTTCAGTCCTATCCAGAGAGATACAATCCTAAAATGCAAATCTGCTAAACTTCTAGCACTTCCATTTTCAAAGACAGCTACATTCAGGGAAAGGATGTGGGGAGGGAGTTAGTTTTAAGAGAGGCAGCGAGCATAGATAAATCTTATTTCTTAGAAAAGAAGAAATTTCACCATGGGTCCTATTATGTCAGAATCTCAAGTCCAGTGTGGATAGGACTCTGATTCTGCAGGGATTCTGTTCATCCTGATCAATCCCCAGACACCAGCATCCTCTCTTTGCCCCCGGCGTCACTGGCCTCTCTGACCACGGCGTCGCTGGCCTCTCTGACCACGGCATCGCTGGCCTCTCTGACCACGGCGTCGCTGGCCTCTCTGACCACGGCGTCCCTGGCCTCTCTGACCACGGCGTCTCTAGCCTCTCTGAAGCACATCACCCTCCAGAGCCCTCAAGGGAGAGAAATCAAATTCCTATGCTAACAAGAGCAGCACATTCATAAATAGGAGGCAGAGCACTTTCCAAGTTCATCCAATGACCTGGAAATGTCATCTCTGATACAAAACTGTCAAAACATCTTACTACAGGAGTTGGTTTTTTTTTTACCTACAAGGAGTGGACAGTAATTCAAATAGCTAAACAAAAGCTCAGGAATAAGGCTAAACTAGATAACAGAAACACACACACACACACACACACAAGAAAATAGTATGGCTTAAAAAATAAGTAAAACCACATAAAAGACTTGAGAGCAACAATTGTAATAAGTCAGAGAACAGAAAGTCCCATGACCGTTTAGGATGACTCTTCCAGGAACTGGGTTTTCACCAGCACACAGGACAGTTATAAGGGTAAGTTGGTCATTATGTATGTTTTTATTATTATTCTTGTTCCTGCTTTATTAGGGTGAGCTTTATTTGTAGACCCTGTTCTCTCTTTTAAGAACAATCTCCAAAAGCTAAAAATGTTTAACAAGATCTAAGATGTTTTATTTTTTTATCCTCACCTGAGGACATTTTCCCATTTTTTTGTTCAGGTAGAGTGGGAGGGAGAGAGAGGAACAGAGAGAGAGAGAGAAACATCGATGTGAAAGGAACACATCGAGTGGCTGCCACCCACATGACCGACCAGGGCCAGGGACAAACTGCAACCGAGGTACGCGCCCTTAGCGGGAACCGAACCCGGGTCTCTCAGGACCGCAGGTCAACACTCTAACCGCTGAGCCAAACCGGCCAGGGCAAGATCTAAGATGTTTTAAATATCCAAGTATGTAAGTAGAATTCCCCATCATTACACATGATAATTTCTAGAATCTCAAAAAGAAAGAAAAAGAAAGAAAATAGCACAAGATGCACTTATTTAATGTAGTTCATCATGAGACCCAGAAAAAGAATGCCCGTACCTGCATAGGCCCAGGAATGCAGGACAGAACCCTCTCTATGTTCTCAGAGGTCACATCAACATCATTCACAGCAACAAGGACATCACCTGGAAAAAAGAATGACAATAAAAGGTAGTTGTGCAAATATCCAAAACCCTGAAAGACCTAGAACTGAAACACTGAAAAGCACCTATTCTGGTCCAGACATTCAGGGGTTTGTCCAAGGTCAGAAAGCTCATTGGTGGCGGAGCTAATCCCCCACTCCACTCTTAAACTATACTGCAGCCTAACGTCCACAACTGAATACAGCCTATGGATATTTAGAGATGAACATTTTCATTAAAAAAAATTTTTTTTATTGATTTTTTTTTTAGAGAGGGGAAGGGGGGGGGGGACATCAATGAGAGAGAGAGAGATATTAATTGGCTGCCTCCTGCACACACACACACACACACACACACACACACACACCCAATGGGGATCAAGCCTGCGGCCAGGAAGAATACTCCCATTTTTTGATACAATTGGGAGAATTATGCAAATCCAAAGACAAATGGAAAACTTGTAGCATAAACCAAGTACTGCACTTAACAAAACTGAATATAACCACTTATACCCACAGTAAAAAAAATTCAGTGGAAATTTTAATTGAATCCATGTGGTACATCATAACTCAATACGCTATGGCATTCACTTATTGATCTGTGTCTACACATAGCTCGTTGTTGCAAAGGCCCCACCATATCAAACCCATAGCATGTTTTGGTAAAAACCTCCTTTGCCATGACTTTTCTTTAAAAGTGTATGCTTTTAAATCTGGGGGCTTTCATAAAGTTCAGTCTTAAAATGGACATTTACTTTCACAACACACATAAAGGTAATATCAAAATATCGGTAAGCCATAGTCATAAAAATATATACATGACAAGGTTATTTCTCATCATATTTAAATATATCATTATGAAACTGATCAAATAATCATACTCATCTATTCAGTAATTAATCCAACAAATATTGAGCACCAACTGTGTGCCAGGCACTGCAGATAGAGAATTGAATTAAACAGAAAAATATCTCTACATAGAGCTTGATACTCTTTGGGGAAGATGGATAATAAACAGGTGTATAGATAAAAGTGTTGACAGACAATTCTTCATCGGTCTCCCATGTTTTTTTTTTTGTTTTTTGTTTTTTGTTTTTAATCCTCATCCAAGGACATTTTTCCATTTTTTGCACAGAGTAGGAGGGAGAGAGAGGAAGAGAGAGAGAGGAAAACATCGATGTGAAAGGGACACATCGAGCGGTTGCCACCCGCACAACCAACCAGGGCCGGGGACAAACTGCAACCGAGGTACACGCCCTTAGCGGGAACCGAACCCGGGTCTCTCCGGACCGCAGGCGGACGCTCCAACCGCTGAGCCAAACCGGCCAGGGCGGTCTCCCATGTTTTGTACATCTTGCAGTCCAAGGCACTGAAAGTCTGCATTCTGGGTTATCTTTTTTTGGATTCTTTTTTCTTTTTGCTGTTCTGATTGGGCATTTTTTGCTTCCTTATATTCCAAATCGATGGTCTGCTTCTTGGATTTACATAGTCTACTACTGAATCTGTATAAATTATTCTTTATTTCCGATAATGCCTCCTTCATTTCTGACTGTGCATCCATCATTTCTGACTGGTCCTTTTTTATGCTCTTGAGGTCCTCACTAAGTTCACTGAGGTTCTCACTAAGTTCATTGAGCAACCTTATAAGCAGTATTTTGAATTCAGCATCTGTTAGGTTGCTTATCTCCATTTTGCTTAGTTCTTTTCTTGGGGTTTTGTTCTGTTCCTTCCTTTGGGACCTGTTTCTTGGTCTCCTCATTTTAGCTGCCTCCCTGTGTTTGTTTCTGTGTACTACTTAACAAGAGGTATGGGGTTAGCTGAGACCAGATGCTGCTTGTTTGAAAGAATTTAGGAAAACCTGAAGCAGGATCCAAGACAAGCCAATCCTATGGTTAAGCAACTGGCAACAGCTTGGGTGGGCCTGAGAGTTGGGTGGGGCAGGGCCTCAGGGAATCACCAGGGCGGGGCAACCAGTGTGAGCCAGGTTGCTCAAGTTCCAGATATGGGGGCTGTCTGCCACCCCAGGGAAGGGCTCACCAAAGGAACAAAGGCTTCTGACAGCAAGTCTATCCAGGAGAAAGCCCCCTCTCCAGCCCTCCCTCCAATGCCAAACAGCGCAGTTCTTCCCCGTATGTCTCTGGTGCCTTTCGAGCTGCCTCCCCAACACGGGAGCCCAGAGGGAGTGAGTCTCAGTAAGTCCATGCTCTGGCCCTTTAAGAGGAGCTGTCTGGGGCTCCAGCAGCCTCAGCCTCTGCTGGTTTTCCAGCCAGAAGTGATGGGGATTCTCTTCCTGGCACTGGAACCCTGAGCGGGGCTCCAGGTGTGAGACGGGGAACCCTCAGTCCTCAAGGAGGACCCTCCCAGCCGAGGTGTCCCCCTGATTTTTATCCCCACACGTGGGTGTGGGACCAGCCTGACCCCTCCACCCTCCTACCAGTCTCCGTGTGGCAGCTGCTCTAATGTCGCAGTTGTAGGACTGCCATTCAGCTCGGTGTCAGGCGGTTTTGAATGATGGTTGTTCTGTAGTTTAGTTGTAACTTTGATGTGGTTGTGGGAGAACGCGATACCGCGTTTACCTACCCTTCATCTTGACCAGCAGTCCTCCCTCAATATCTTACTGTTAATAATTGTTCTTTATAGAAGAATCACATTCCCTAAGGTCAAAGTTCCTCTCCCTTTAATGCAACTCACTACAGGTATGTGTTTAGGTGTCATCTGGCCCTATTCTTGTCGCCCTGGGAATGAGGTTTGGGGAACAGGTAGAAATACAGTTCCTTTAGCTACTGCTATTCGTCCCTGGCCCCTCTCTGCCTTCCTTCCTCGCTCTCCTTAACCCTCTATCTCATGGGGAAGGGGTTGGGTGCAGAGTCAGCAGGTGGAATTTCTTAGGTCATCACCATGATGGCTTTTAATGACCTGCACTAGGTTTAGTGCTATTCAGTTCACAGCTCTGCAGGTGTGGGCATTGAGTCACTGTGATGGTCAACTACTGCCACACTTTGAGCAACCTGGTATCTTCTTGAAAGTAAGAATTTGCAGCCCTGGCCGGTTTGGCTCAGCGGTTAGAGCATTGGCCTGCGGTCCAGAGAGACCCGGGTTCAGTTCCCGCTGAGGGCACGTACCTTGGTTGCAGTTTGTCCCCAGCCCTGGTTGGGTCGTGTGGGTGGCAACCACCCGATGTGTCACTTTCACGTCGATGTTTCTCTCTCTCTCTCCCTCTCATTCTATCTGAACAAAATATCGAAAAATGTCCTTGGGTGAGAATCAAAACAAAAAAGTAAGAATTTGCAGACTAAAACAAACTTCCAACTTCAGTTCAACCTGGGGGAGAAAAAACAACATATACCCCATTTTTTAAAACAGGAGATTAAATAATTGTACTATATCAAATAATTTATAGCTGTAGTGATTTTTTTTAAAAAGGGACAATGAACAGTATCAGAGTACTGATGCAAAACAAAGCCATTTCTATACCATTCTATCCATGATTTCCATTGTCCCTTAAGATGATCAGAACACCTAAATGGTGACACCACTTGAAGCTTGCTCCTTTAAATACACACTTTATTGGATACTGTCCCAAATGATTTTTTTCTTCCAAACCCTAACAAATACGTGCAGTTCTATCTGCAGTTGAGCATTTTAGGGAGAGTCACCGAAAGCATCACGTCTCACACACTTCTAAAAGCAGGAGACATGTATCATAAAAGATATGAAAATAAATTTTAGGGCAACTGTAGTAAAGTGCTTTTAAATGTTCAGAAAATTTTCTTTCTATAAAAGAAGTGTGACATCCACGTCTCCGTCTCCCGGATACTTGTTTTTCTGCAGCGGCTCAGAGATGGCAGGCTCCCAGGACATCAGGGCACAGCACTCCCGGCAAGACCTTCCTCAGCAAGTGCCGGGGAGGCGTCGGGCGTGCTGTCCCGTTCCCAAGGCTGAAAGGACCTGAACTGCGCAGACTGGTTTGAATTAAGAAGAAATAGTCAAGGGATTAGTGATGGTTAGAGGTAAGTAGAAGAAAGTCATCAAGAAATACAGCCGAGGATCACTGGCCGGTTTGGCTCAGCGGTTGGAGCGTCGGCCTGCGGTATAGAGAGACCCGGGTTCGGTTCCCGCTAAGGGCACGTACCTCGGTTGCAGTTTGTCCCCGGCCCTGGTTGGTCGTGCGGGTGGCAGCCACTTGATGTGTCCCTTCACATTGATGTTTCTCTCTCTCTCTTCCTCTCTCTCCCTCCCTCTCTATCTGAACAAAAAATGGAAAAATGTCCTCGGTTGAGGATTAAAAAAAAAAAAAACTTATTTTGCCCTGGCCGGTTTGGCTCAGCGGTTAGAGCGTCGGCCTGCGGTCCGGAGACACCCGGGTTCGGTTCCCGCTAAGGGCACGTACCTCGGTTGCAGTTTGTCCCCGGCCCTGGTCGGTTGTGCGGGTGGCAGCCACTCGATGTGTTCCTTTCACATCAATGTTTCTCTCTCTCTCTCTCTGTTCCTCTCTCTCCCTCCCACTCTACTGAACAAAAAATGGGAAAAAAATGTCCTCGGGGGAGGAAAAAAAAGAAATACAGTCAAGGATCAAATAAAACATAAACAGGTGAGGTAAATTTATCACAGTGCTTCAATCGATTCTTCAATGTAAAGTCAATTGTTTGGGAAAACCTATCAATTGCTCGGCTTCTACTTAGTATCAAACAACAAAGGTGTATTGATGGGTTACGACCTAAAGCCACCAAGGACTATGAAAATACACGTGCACAAGCTTGTTTCCTGCTCTAGCGGTTTCCTGCTGTTACACTATATACAAAATGAATACAGTTTAACAAATTACTTTTGAAACAAATTACACACAAATGTAGAGAAAAGAAAGACTAGATCTTATCAAAACACACAAAAAACACCAACTCACTGTGGTAGGCACAGTAATTGTCCTCCAAAGACGCTACACATTGTGGTCTGTAAATATGCTACCTGACAGCGGCAACAGAGACGGAAGGATGCGCTTGAGTT